ATACCACACACAAACAAGACAAATGATTCCACACAGAGACATAATAACACTCTCAACAAGAAGAATTACCCCCAGAGGGAAGGCACCTTTAGTGAGAAGACATGGGAGCCATGAGGAAGAATCTACAGCTGCCATGGCCTGTTACAAAAGGATACAGCTGCAACTGTGAAGATGGATGCATGAGAAGCCAGGCCCTAAGACTTAAGGCCAAAAAGATGCAGAGAAGAAGCAGCTTCAGAAAACAGCGCAGCAGTGGTGCTGACGCATTCTGGATTGCCCCTGAAGAGAAGGCCATCTGTAAACTGCTTGGACATAAGACACACCAGACAGATCTGTGCAATGAGCCTGTAACAGAAGTAAGGAAATGCTCAATTAGCATTGTGCAGACAAGATCCTTGGTATGGCTGCAGACATTCCCACCTAGCACCAAAAAACAATGAAATCATTGAGCCCTGAGTAACCTGAACCCTTGAGTCAGGGTTGGTGGCATGTCTGTGTTTGTGTGCTAGTATTGCAGCCGCTGTTGTTCCTCCTGTTCGTCTCAGCAGGGTGGGCAATGAGTGTGTTAATTCTGAGAGAACTCTGGGATGGGGCAGAAGCAAGACGACCAGCCCTGAATACCCAGGAGCCGTGAGCCAGTCTCCCTCCCCAAAGAGATGAGCGTGGCTTAGAAATTGTGATTAAAAAACCTGAATTATCTATTCACTGTTTTCAGCCTGTAGAGTGCAGTAGTACCACGTTTTCATAGAATCATAGAATCCCAGCTTGGAAGGGGCCTTACAGATCATCTCACCCAACCTCTCTTGGCAAAAGCATGGTCTAGACAAGACAGCTCAGCACGCTGTCCAGCCAAGTCTTAAAAGTGTCCAACACTGGGGAATCCACCACTTCCCCAGGGAGATTATTCCAGTGGATGATTGTTCTCACTGGGAAAACTTGTGCCATTACCTCTCAACTTTTTTTGCCACGTGACCTCTTTTAAAATGGGAGTCTTTGTGTTCTTGGTAGCCACCCTTTAAATACTCAACATGGTGACATGGTCTCCCCTATTGATCCTAAAAAATGTAATTCTCTCTCATTTTCATTAGGATTTCATGGCATTCTTGGAATGCTAGGCTCTGGAGTGTCAGGGTTGAATGCCATTAGGGGAAATATTCCATCTCCTAACTATGGTCTGGCTGAAGTTTTGTCTTTCTCTATTCTGTAGACCTAAAAGTTCATACTGTATTTCACTCAGGACTGGTTACAGCAGGAAACAAAGCTGATTATGGGAAAGATCTATAACATAAATGTGGTACAGTGGCCAAAACTGTAAGAAGTTAAAACATCCATTCTAACTGCTTTCTGCCATGCTTTGGGTAAAATTACTTACAGAACTTTTATTTCAGAAACAGTGACATTTGAACTGCTTGACAGTGGGCTTCCAAACTATTGAAAGTCTTGGTTACAGGCAGCAGGAACTCCTGAAAATAGTTTGCTTAGTGGAACTTTGTTCCAGAGTAAACCAGAATTGACTATTCAGTTCTCATATATACCAGTAAAAATCCATATCAGCCCTGTGCAATGCCTACATAGCAGAAGGCAGAATGTGCTTCATTTCCTTCCATGTTGTGTTATTTTTTGTTAGCAATGTTTCACAGGGTAAAAAATCCAAATGACAACCCTTTTTCTACATTATTATTGCTCCCCTCTCTCTGCCAGGCCTTGTATCATGCAGCTTCATCGTTTTTTTTCTCTCTTCTTGGAGCCACAGCTTTTCCCCGCTCATTTTTGTAATCTGACATTGTGATTTGTTCATTTATGTGCTTGTTTTTCTCCTTGGAGAAGATTTGCTGAATCATTGGGGAGGAGGCAGGAGCTCTACAGGCAGCTGGTGGCCAGTGATAAAACCAGGGCCACATCCAGTCTTCAGGGTTTGCAGATGACAGCTATTCAGTTGAAGGCCTGAGTCACATTCCCTTCTGAGCTAAGATTGCTGGGGACTTTGGGATTGAGGAAGTGAGGCTGAGGAGATGGTGCCCCAAAAATATAAATTATTGATCTGAAAACCACAAGGTTTGTGTTGCATATCCTGCAAAATTTATAGTGATGCTGTGAGAAAACTTGCTGGCTAGGAGCAAAATCCTGCTGACTGTTGTATGTTGTGCTCACTTCAGTGGGAACACAGAGTTAAGAAAATAGGAATTTGGCTTGAAATAGGTCACAGTACGTAGTGCCTGCTTCGAGACTTGCAGTAGCAAGGTATCGTATGAGCAAAGGTGTGCCAGAGCTCCAAGCCAGTCATCTGCCTGCATATTTGGAGAGAACACACCAGATTCCACTGGTATAACTTATTAAGCTGTTTATATTGCAACAGGGCTGAACTTTGTCCACTACCTAATGACTAAAATAAGAACTGGGAGCTAAAATGCTTTGCTTCCTTTTTTAGGTCTTTTACTCACCCTTTCTACATCCTCTAGGTACTTTATCTCTCCCTGGCCCTTAGTTTTCTTGCAGTAAAACAGGGATAAGGTGTTCCATCTTTGTGGAGCATTCTGAAATCTTTAGACAGTATGTGCTATTCAAATGCAAAGTATCATTAGTATTTCTGAGCCTGCAGCACCACTGCTGTGGCATTATGTAGCTGGCATGTGGACACAGCTCTGTGACTTTCCATATAGTTGTTCCCCTAAGATGCACTTAAGATGGGAGACCTCAGCTGTTCCATGCACATTCACTCTGAAACCAAAGGCTTTCTTCTCTGTCAGCTCTGCTTTTAATGGAAGGCACTAGAAAATAAGTTTTGTGCATAATTTTATAAGTATCTTTCAGAGCTATAATCTTACCAATAGTACACGATACTTTTCCTAAGAACAGAGTTTTAACTTGGGATGTTCCAACTGTACTTCAAGGATGTAAAATAGAAAGTTGGTTAACAAACAACACTGGAAGTCCAGGTGATCTGAGTTCCATTTCTAGTTGTCCTATTCAAATTTGGGCAAGTATTTTAAAGGGACAAATGCAGGATGGCAGATGATAATGCAGACCTCCCTTTGATGCTGTCTGCATGTTCTGTGGAATGCTTTCACAATGCCACTCCAATATAAGGTTACTGTGCTGGTGCAGCAATTTCACCTTGCTCTTATCCATAGATCTCAAAGCAAGTCTGTGTCATTATCCTCACTTTGCAAATGGGAAACCTGAGACATGGAGAGGGATAGTGGCTGGTTCAGATCAGCTGACAATGTCAAAACCAGGAATGCAATCCTTCTTTGAATTTTGAGTCTCCTATGTGGTGTTCTCCATGATGCTACAGTATCAGTTTCTGGACTGTCTTCCCCAGGTTCTCTCACAGCTGAGTGTCCACCAAGCCTGATGTATTTACAGTTAAGCTACTCCAGGCTGGATCTAAATAAGGAGCTGGGTAGGGATGTGTGACTGACACACTGGTTCACCATGTTCACACTCTCAGGATGGAGCCCTTTCAAGAACAGGAATGCTCCATCATTTCTGACTTCCCCTTCCTCAACTGAGACAAGAGATAATTTTTATTTTATAAAGAAAAGAAACCAGTAGACTTGACCACTGCCAAAAATCCCACCAAAGCTCCTAATATAGAAGGGTCTGGGGTGTAAGATAAAGTCTCATTGCTTTAAAATTATTCAAGAGGAAGGCAGAATCAATGGGGTAGAGTTATTTTTAACTCCTTATTCTTCATGAGAAAGCCTTGAACCTCAGAGTTGTGTCGGCCAGTGCTGAATGTGGCTGTTGTGCTTAGAACTTGACTTAGGAGCCCTCAATGCACAGAAGAATTAAACGGCTTAGAGGTTGTTCATGGCCTGGAGAATAGTAGATTATGGATTGGAACAGAAACAGCTGTGAGAAACTTGGCTTGAGAGTGGTGCAGAAACCACAGGGGTGTGACTCATCTGGAGACATCTAAAGTTACAGGAGAAATGAGGCTCCTTTTCTCTTCAGGGAGAAAAGTAGGTGCGTTGAAGGCATGACTTCTGTCCTACTCTAGATAGGTGCTTTAGGAGGAGCTAAATTGATTCCTAGATATGTTACTTGCCAAAAAGGGAGCCTTTGAGTGACTAGCTCACACTGGAGATACCCTGTCCTACTTTGCTGCTGCAGAGGGTTTTCTGCCTTGTATCCCATGGAGGGCTTGGGGCAGCACTTGCACCGAGGCAGCCAAGTCTGAACACATCCTCCCAGCACAGGTCAGGGCTTACACTGGGGCCAGCTCTCAGTAAAATCCCCTGACACAAGCAGGACCAAAGTCACCAACTTGAACCCAGCCAGAGACCCAGCCGTGGTGGGAGGCAGGATGACAGCAGTCCATATGGTCTAACTGCACAGTGACCTGGTAACAGTGGTGTGACAGGCTGAAGTAATGCAGAGTGCTGAAGATGCTGATCTGACAATGGTAAGATGCTGCACAGCGTATTGTCAGCACAGAAACCAAGGATGTGCCATGTGGGAATCTCTTGTTACCCTCTCTGTCACAGCTGAAGTATCTGGACAGGGAGTCTGCACAGGTCCAGGGCAGCTCATCCAAATGTAGGAGAGTCTATCTGCTATGATCTTGAGCTGTACTGATTTGGTTATTGCTGCCCTAGGAGTAGTGTGAATGGTCATATGTTGGCCCATACTCTTGCAGCTCAGATGGGAATGGTCAGGTTTTTTCTCTTCCGTTCACTTGGGTGTTTTTACTGTTTGGGTTGTTTGGGGCTTTTTTTCCAGAAACAGTAAAGGGAAAACAAAGCAATTAACTATACACCAAAACTTAGTGACTAGTGTTATTCTGAAGTGCTAAATTCCTCTCCCAGACCTAGGGAAGGCAGTGTGGGGGAGAAGTGCTGCTCTGAGCACTGAACAGGAGCAGCTTGCTCAGTAAACATCTGAATTGTTTGCTGTAAATCTGACTCTCCCTGCTGTGCAATGTTCCTAAGAAAGCCTACCCCCTGCATTCCCTTAGGCCCCTATGTTCATGTTTGCCGTTCTCATACTGCACTTACCAAGGTTATTTGTGTGGATGGGGGCTCCCTGTTGATGCCTGGGTGGCAGAAGCAAAGGGCTGACAGGCCTTTCCTGCCAATCTGTCTGTTGTTCAGATGAAGTGGTTGGAAAGTGCTCACTCTCCAGTTCCCTCTTTGGCTCAGGCACTCCGATAAGGCATGGGCTGTCCTATCTTGCCCTGGGAGCTGTTCCTCCTCCCTAACAGGCCCACTTTGCCGGCTGACAGTTAGCAGCCGGCAGTGCTTGATAAACTTATCAGAGCAAAGCTGAGCCCAGTGCACACTCAGCTCCTCCCCAGCCTCAGATTTCCCCATTCTTAGGGACTCTTTGCTGTCTGCCTGTCAGTCCATCTGGTATGGTGAACAAGATCACCCTGGGCCCAACAGGTCAAAATCAGCCCAAGGACCAGATTGAAAAATGCTTGTATTGAAGTAACACCGTTAAAATGAAGATATCAAGTGAGGTGTTTGTAGCATCTGTATCCAGTTCTGTCTCTCTGGAATGTTATTCACTGGTGAAAATGCTGCTCATGTCTGATTTATCTTCAGTGTTTCTGCTTGCCCTGTTTCTCCTCTCAATTGGCAGTTTAGTGGTTTTAATGTAGGGGTCTTGCTGTGCTTGGAGGATTTCTTTCTAAGCCAGTTACAGAACTAGGTTGCTTTGCTGAATTAAGTTTCTATCACTTGTTATGGCACTTGGGCGTTCTAAACTGAGATCAAGGCTTCATTGTAGAGGTGCTGTATGTAGAAGATAAGGAGGGGCAGGCCCATTCCTGACTATCTTACTGTTGAAATAAACAAGTGAAATGAAGGGGAGAGGGGCAATTATTATCCTCTTCTCACAGATGGGTGAAGCTTTCTGTGAGCCTCATAGTGAGCTGAACAACTTCAGAAATTCAGAGCTCATGTCTTGCCCTAGGTCATGCAGGAAGCATGTGGTAGATCTCAAGTCTCAGTTCAGGGTTGCAGCCTTAACATCAGTGTGTCTGTGGTGACTGTTAGTTGTGAGATGGTTTGTCAGAGCTCTGCAGGGATATGTGTTTTCTTGGCTCTCATTCAGCTGAGATGCAACTGATAGATTTATTATCCTTCAATAAGTTTGGTGTGGCTGTTCCAGGTTGTCTCTTCTGTGTGGATGTGCTATTCCAGGGGAGAAGTGGGAAAAATTCTCTGCTTTGTGAGCAGGAATGTTTTCCCTACACAAGCAAATGTGTGTGTGCAGCTCTTTCTGGGAGATAGTATAATGCTTTCAGTTTTCCCCTTGTGTGCCATGCTGATGGGCTGGAACTAACCTGCTTGTGTGTCCCCATCTCCTACACTGTGGCCCTGTGGGAATGACCTGCTGTGAGGACAAGGGACTCTGCTCTTATCACTTTTTACACTGAAGGCTTTCTCTGATGTCTGGGCAGGAAGCAACTAGACTCAGCAAGTTTTAGTTTACTTCTCCCCTTCCCCCTCCCAAATGCAACCTGTACCTAAATGAAGCCTAATTCTTCCCTGTCCTTTCTGTCAGTTCTTTTTAGGCCTTCCCTAACCATTGCCAACATAATGTGAAAACTTCAGGGTTTTCCTTCCTTAGGAATCCACTCTGTGGAGGTTAATACAACCTGAATATAAGTTCCAGTGTAATGGCATGATAGCTCTGCTTCCTGCAGGTGTCCTGTGGCTCTGCCTTCATTAGGAAGATGCATCATGTGCCCACACTTCAATCCACCCTTGATCATAGTATTTCTGGGCTGCTGTTCTCAGTGCCTAAAGGGTGTCTGGAAGACACAGAGGCACCTCTCTCCTTCTGACAAATGCCCCAGGTTATTGCTTTGCATGTCCCTCATTTGCTAAACAAAACAGCCCAAAGACCAGGATTTTCTTTCCCTGGCAATAAAGGGAAGATGTGAGGAGGACTGGGGAAGGGCAGGGTGCAGGGCGGGCTTGGAGGGAGGCAAAACAATCAGCTCTTTCTTCAGCTATGAAGATTAGTTGAGATTTTGCTTTTTGTTATCTGTTTCCTTGATTGACCAGAATGTTTTTGATGCAACGGGAGATGGTGGGAAAGGGGTTGTTTTCAGAGTGGTCAGAACTGGGGAGGATTTGCGTGTTTGGAGAACAAGGGCAGGTGTGTTTGGAGTTGGTGACAGCCACAGCCTGATCCTGACAGGTTCTGAGCATTCTTGGGTACCTGTCATGTGGATTCAGCATGGAAGGATCCAAGGATCATGGAAGCCCTTTGCCTGCTCCATACAGCAGGCCTGCCCTTGGCTGGTGCTGTGTTGGGAGTGGAATGCTGTCTCCCAACCTGGTGTGCTGAAATTTGGGTAATGCCAGATCTGTTTTATCCCTTGCTCCTTCACCTGCATTTCCAGAGCTTCAGGGGGTGCAGATGAAAGCCCAAATTTGGGCTGCTAGCATCATAGTCCTGAAGGAAGCAGAGCATTACACAGTGGTCTGAAAGTGCCACTTTGTTACTCAAGAGGAAGAAACTGTAGTGTCTTAGTGGAAAACCGCAAGTTAATTCCTTCTCCTCCTCCTCTTCCCCTTCCCTTCGCAGGTCCTGACTCTGGCTGTACTGTCTCACTCTACCTTTGCCAGCTGGCCTCCATCCACATTCTGTGTTCATAGAGATATACTCCCAGTGCTGGTGGGAGTGGGTCACCCTGGCCCCCTTGGGCTGCTTTGGCCACAGACTTGTTTTCCTGAGCACAGTTCTGCAAAAGCATGCTGCCTAAGGCCATCCCAGTGTGCTTCTCTACATACTGCCCATCTATCTAAAGCAGTCCTTGCATCTCCTGGGGATGTGCCCACCAGTCTCCTCACAAATGTATGGGTATGGCTGACACTGCCTCCTTCAGTGTAACTAATTCCTCTTCAGTAAGCACAATAATGGTTAAAGCAGCTGCCTGCCCTAGAGTCTTGAGAAAATAAAATACAGGACTGGGTAATCTTGCTTGGTTAGGAGGGAGAAGCAGGCTGTAGAACAACCTTAGGAGTGAAGACCACAGCTGCCCATTGAAGGTTATACCTCCTCTGTATCATGGAAATCAAAGATAGGAATGGAAATCTAATGGCTAGAGTAGCCCTTGTTCAGCAGGCTCAGGAGAACCAGCTGCCTGATTTGCTTTTATGAGTGGTTTTACAGGCAGTCTTGCCACAGTGCCAGTCTGTGTGTGCCAGCGCTTCCCTCCAGAATGGCCTTAAGTGTGCAGCTTCAGAGAAGTCAGACACACCTACTGTGCCAGGACACAGGCAGGGAAGTCTGTGCTGTTGTGCCTGTGTGTTTTGCGGCTGGAGGTTATTTACTGCTGAGCAGTTCAGATGCTGACATGCTCGTTAAATATTTCTGTTTGCAGATTTGTGGAGGATAAACAGGGTTTGCATTTTTGGCAGCAGTTTCAATAAGCTGAGATGACTTTGAGTAAGGCTTGTGCATGTGAGAGTGTTCAGGTGTTATGGTCAGGACCTGGGGACCAGTTCCTTTAGCCCCAGTTGTGTCAGAGGTCATACACCTCCCCTGGAGTCTCTGACCAGAGAACCTGACCAGGTTCTAGCATGACCCAGGAAAGGACAGCAGTTCTGGTAACAAAAAAATGGGGGTTTTAGTAACACTGTCTGCTGGGCATACAATCCCATGTCATCTGTGATTATAGCTACACAGCTCTCTTGCTCTGCAGAGCTGACTTGCTGCCTGTGGGGGACTCTACACCGATTTGTCTCTGAGAATGAATGTCTCTTATCCCAGGCTTTGAGCACTGTTTGTGGCTGTTCTTTAGCCAATAGGCCCCTGCTCCCTGAATTTGATTTCTTTCAAGTGTAAGTTTTAGAGCCTTGTTCTGCATGTGAACTTCCATCTTTATTTCCGCTTGAATCATATGGGAAAATGCTGTGCTCTCTCCCTTCTCCTTTTCTCCTCCATCCTCAGTGCCTGAACCTCCAGAACCAAGTGTGAGCTTTTCTTGAAATGGGTATTTTTAACATGGAATACACTATGTTAGCCCAGTTACCGAGAGGAAACAGATTTATCAGATAAATCCCAGCAGTCCTGTACATGTTGTCACTGTCTGGTATAGTGCAATAAAAATATACATTAGAACAATTATAAATACATTTACAGTGTACAAGTAAAGCCAGGAGTACAGACTCTTGAGCTTCCAGAATGAATATTAATGACTAACAGCTTAGGCACATAAAAAAGGGGCAAGTACATTTTAGGTCTTAGGAGAATAACTGGAGTTACAGCAGTGTAATTGAAGGCAGGATGGACTTCTCTCCTGGCAATAAATGAGTTTTCCGTGTCTTCTTTGCCCATGATGGCCCATTCTCCAGGCTACTTCCCACAGGTGTCATTGTCCAAGGCCACATGTTTAGTGATGTAGTTATGGGGTGAGCTGTGTGCTGATACAGTGCCCTGCTTAACTGAAAGAACTTGTCTTTTTAATGCTATAATAATACTTTGTCCTTCCTGTTAAGAACTGGAGGGACTCTATAAACCTGAGTGAATGACTCCACATCACCAGGAGGGGTGGAGAAATAAAAGCCCAGTGCAGTGACTTGCCAAAGGTTATATAGTGAGAACATAGCACAGCTTGGAGGGGAAGTGGCTCTTTACTTGTTCCAGTGCTTTGCTTTAACCCCTAGACCTGGAAGGAGGAAATATCACAGCTGTTTGTACAATATTTGTAAGGTACTTGCATACTCTGCCAAAGTGTACAGGCTGGGTCACTTCCTCCTTTGAGAGAGTGGCTGGAAAGCAGAACTCTGGCCCTTGACGTTGATACCCAAGGGCCAGTCCTGACTATGCAGTGACATAGGATTGCCCAGGACACCTCTAAGTTGGTATGCAGCGAAATACTGTGGGACATACCGGCCTGGATGACTAGAGCAGCCAGTCTCTCTTGTGTGGTACTGAGACATGGGGCTTATTAGCTTATGCCTCATGCTGTGGCATGGCTCTCTCTGGAGCTTGGTTGGATACCACTAACTCAGGGATCTTTGCAGCACAATACATATGGGGAATGCATTTAGAGACCCCTGTTATCAGCTAGGGATAAGGAGCTGTTTTCTCAGTGTTTTCCTCCCACTCCAAGCTAAAAATACAACACAGTTAACTTGTCATTTGATCACAGTAAATGTTCTGCTGAAAGAAAATTACTTTAGGTGCCTGTTGCCAGAATTTATGACCTGGGCAAGTCTCTGCAGAAGCCTTGTCCAGGTTGAACACAGCTCACTGAACACAGTCTATTTGCATGCCCTGGCCTTATCTTCCTAACCATCAAAGCAGAACATGGTTACAGCACTAACTTGGCACAGACCGTTGCTGCCACTAGCCCAGGAGTTCCCATCTCACTGCTGGTTCAGTCTGATGAACCAAATCCTGCACATGGTGTAAAACCAGAGTAATAGTGACCTTGGAGGAACTCCTCTGGCTTTGCACTTGAGCAGGTGATGTCAGATATGGGCTGGTACCTGTTGTAATTGAAAAGTGAGAGCTCCTGCAGGTTTCTTTGTCACCTACTGGGATGCACAAGGCCCTGGTGTGCCAGAACTCCAAAGCCAATGACATGACTTTGCCAGTCCCTAAGGGAACACAGGACACTATATGGGCTTCACAGGGTAAGCAGCCCCACGGTGGATGGAGATGCTGGGGAGAGTCTTATTCCCTGGAGTGGAAGCTCCAGCAAAGACTGGGAGCCATCTCTCACTTGAGACTGTGCTGGGTCTCTCGGTGCCTCCGTAGATCCACCTTGCGCTGGAAGCCCTTAGCACAGAGCTCACAGCTGAAGGGCTTGAAGCCGGTGTGCTTGCGGCTGTGAGTGATGAGGTTGGAGCTCTGGCTGAAGGCTTTACCACATACCTGGCATTTGTGGGGCTTCTCCCCTGCAGGGCAGAGAAAACGTTAAGAAACACTTCCACAGATGAGAGAAGGGAGGTAGAAATGCCCTTTGGCAAATGCAGACCTGACTGGCTATGCTTGGGTGCCAGAGTGCTGCCAGCCCAGCTGTCCTGCGCTCTGATCTAGCACCAGAGGGTGAAAAGAACCAGAGGCAGTATGACCCATGTCCTTTCTGCATCCAGGGCTAGGTACAACCATGACAAGCACCAGAGGCTGGTCAATAACCAGCTCCTTGTCACACAGGAGGACATGCATCTCAGTGATGCTTAGACTTTCTGCTTTCTTACCGCTTTCTTACAGGGAAGAATGTCAGTCCAGTGCCTTTAGGCACCTATTCACAGTCCAGTATCTCTGTCTGGGGTCTATGTATGTGTATTAACACGATGGACTCTAATTTGCATTCGCTTACTAGGACTATTTTGTTTCTCACCAGTATGGATGTAAGTGTGTTTCTTCATATCCGACTTCTGGTGGAAGCGCTTGCCACAGTATTGGCAGGGATAGGGCCGTGTGTCTGAATGGATCAGCAGATGAGTGGAGAGAGTGGAGGAACGTTTGAATGTCTTCCCACACATCTTGCACTCAAAACTTCTTTCCTGTTACAGAAAGAAAATCACGCGAATGTCTGTGACTGCAAGACATGTGACAGAACTTGAAGAGTGTTACAAGTGTTGAGAGTAGTAGATTTGCTAAGCAAATCTCCTTGCCTCATGGACTGATATGCGAGGTGCAGTACAAAGAGAATGTGGGAGGGATACTTATGGAAATGGATTATGTCTTGTGATCCAAACTCCTGTGCGCTTTAGGAAGAGATGAGGCACAGAAGAAAACAGGTAGCAACAATCCTCCATTCCCATCTCAAGGGCAGTCTCTGATTCGTGAGACCATAATCTATGGTCTTCAGAGCTCCTACCATTGTCATTGAGTGCTACAGGAAAGCCACCTCATTTGTAACCTTAGAAATATTACTTCCTTTATGATGGAGAAAGCAATAGCTAAGGTCCAGGCACTCCTGAGCTCTGTAGTGCTGGTTCTCTGGAAACATACTACCCACCTGGGAATGAATATTGGTATGCTGTTCCAGGCTTACAGCGTGTCCAAAGGTTTTGCCACATACTTCACAAGCGAAGGGACGTGTCCCACTATGAGACCTTCGGACATGGACCTCTAGTCCATGGGGAGTGGAGAATACCTGCAAAATAAAATGTCAGTGATTTTTTTAATGAGGTAGCTGCCTCATCTCTGTTTTAAATTCCTTCTTTTCATTTGAGTCTTCCCTCGCATGGGCCATGTGAACTGCATAATTCCTAGTGCCCTAGTCAGGAGAACAAGTAGGTACCCATTTTGAGCTGCATGCATTGCACTTTGTTGTAACCCAGTGAAACACTGATGTATGCAATGAAAATCCCTCCAGGCGCTCCCCATCCCTGAGGTTCTTGTCTGACACGCACCTTGTTGCACTTCACACAATGGTAGGTTTCCATGTCTGAGGAATAATGCATGCTGTAATCCAGAGGGGGCTCACTGCTTGGCAGGAGGTGGCTTCCATAGAGGCTAACTGGGTGCTCCAGAATGGCTGACTGCATGGTGGGAGACATCTGTCGGTAGCTGTATGGCAAATGGAAAGCATCCCAAGAAAAGCCGATTTTGTAGAATGAAGGGGTGCTTGTCGTGTTAGTGCAGTCTTTGATCTGCAGACTTGGGATGGCCATCTCTGAGTTTGGAAAAGAGAGGGAGAAGTGAGTGTCACACCTGCAGCTGGACACCAGTCAAAATGTTCCACAGGTACCACTCCTCCCCCATTTGATATCTTGCCTGACCTTGGGAGTTGCAATTGGTAACTCCTCCTTCTTTCACTCAAATCCTGATTCTCATACAAAGCTCCTGTTCTGACTTTGATTTCAGTCTCAGGAAATTTTATGGGAGAGAGAATGCTAAGGGAATATTAACCTCTCTACTAGCCCTGCTTCATATGGTGTTTGAACAAATATCATGAGAACACCTGCCTTGACCCATATAGCTACATTAGTCCTTGAGGTTTGGAGGCTCGCTCTTTGGGAATCAGCATCATCCTTCAGGGAAATGCTGATCTAGACCAGAATCATAAAGGGAAATACAGAATCCTCTTGATTAGCTCTGCCTAGGCCAGGTTTTACCATTGATGTCAAAATAAGAGCTGCTATTTACTGAAAATCTGGACCCAGCTGTAGGGTCTCCATAAGTCAGCCCACCCCTGACCTCATTTGCAATTGTGGCCTTGGGTAGCAGACCTTGAGCTGAAGGGCCCGATGGCATCCTGCTCAGGTACTGGACAGGGACACTTTCTTCTTTCAGTTCAGATGGGTCATTTTCTTGTTTTGGAATCACACATTCTAGGTCCTGTTTCTTTATGTCCTCCGGTGTCTTGTCTCCTATGTCTGTAATCATATAGTATTGTCACAGTTTATTCTGGATGCTAAGAGTTTATTAAGGTGGGGTTTGTACCTATGTATGAGCTCATGCTTGGATACATGAGTCCATGCTCAATTCCCTGAATAAGTGCAGAGTGGCACAATCAGCACAGCAATCAAGGTCTATCCATTGCTGAGAAACGGAAATTCCAAGCAGGACGAGATAGGTAACGTAGAGGGGAGCAGGAAGAAATGATAGAACACTTGATATGCTTTATAGTTAGAGAAAACCCTACAAGGCCACAATCTGTAACAATAATTTCCCTATTTAAAACTGTTTTCATTTGTGTGGGTAACTATCAGTCACTGATTTATTAACCTCCCCACCCCTCTCCTAAAAGAGTTCGTTATTGTTAACCTGAATTTATGGTCAGCCAAGTAGGGAAGCAGAGAGGGGAGGTAACTGCTTATGCAGCTTTGTCTCCTCCTGCTTGCACTCCCATTTCTCCCAGCCCCTAAAGGGACCAGCCAGCACTTGTTAGAAGTAGACTTTATAATAAGAAACTAAAATGGACAGAGATCCAGTTTGGTTGACATCTGGCATCCAAACCCTCTTGTGAGGGTCATACAACAAATGGTCAAAGGATGATGGCAGCAACTGAAATTAAATGTCACCTTTCTTTTTTATCAAACTTATCATAGGGCTGGACTCTGATATGATAGCCAGGGCTAGAACAAAGGGTATATTGATCCTGGATTTGAATAAAGAAAATTTGAATTGTGCCTGAAGGAAGAGGGTAATTGCCCCAGCCCTGCCACTGCTGTGGGAGAGCAGGAGCAGAAGCAGAGGGAGGACGGCAGGCCTAGGCAGAAGCAGTGTTGGTTGGTGTTAGTACAGTATATAGCAGCTGGCCCTTCACCTGTGAATGTGCAGGACTCCTTTCACAGTCAGTGTTAGGGTATCGCTAGTATTTTCTTTCTCTAGCTGTAACTTTCCTTGCAAATCATTAGGAGGAGGTGGTAACACTGAGGCAGAGAAGGTGTAGGTCCTGAGAGAATGTGTGCAATGAACACAGCAACAATCTAAATTTAGTTTCAGTGGGACAGTGTGCATTCGGCCTAAAGAAAAAGGGCACACAGCAGGGGATCAGTCTGTCCCTAGACTAACATCCCTGTGTGAAGCCCGTAGCTGCTCTCTAGCTCACTAATCCTACTCCCTTAGTTTGCTACTCAATTATTGATCTGCCTTGGTTTATTCTTACAAGCCCAGTGGATGGATTGACTCACCAGTGAAGGGAGAGGTTACTGGATCCCAGGTTAGTATAGGCAGGTCATCTTCCACAAAGCGGTGCTTATGGTAGGTATGAGCCTTTTTGCTCTTCACCAAAAAGGAACGTGGCATTTTCCATTCACTGCCTGGGCAGAAGGACAGAAAACTGGCAGGTAAATCTCTGTGGTTTGGGGTGTAATTTCTCATGTACTCCCCTAGCACATGCAGCAGTGACAAGTACTAAAACTCTTCTACTAGGGAGACAGAGAGTTCATCTCAAAGGCCCGTCCACCCAGCTGAAGAGCAGGGAATGTTCCATGTGCTTAGGTGCTTGGTGGATCTCAGCTCTGGGGAAAACACAGAGCTGTGGAGGGGGCTAAGCAAAAACCTTCTTTGCCACTGCATGTAGAAATGGGATGGCAGATTGCAATGAGATTGCAGATTACAGTATTCTCTGTAAAAACAACACTCCACAATCGACACCTAGTTTGAGGCAAAGCATTACTGCTATCTTCACATTATAAATGGCAAAACAGAGCATGTTTAAATTGAGTTCTGTGGCAAAGACACATTTGAAGCCAGAAGGCCTCTCTGGTAGCTCTCTGCTCTGGCTACAGGACGCAGTGCATTTGAATTTACCCTCCCTGAGAAACACTGGTTTGAAGGTTGAAGATCACCCCTTTGAGGAAGAGTCTGTCTTAGTGTTCGTATTGCCCCTTGAAGAGCACAGTCCTGAGCCATGTCATGGGCTTCTCTGTAAGATTGCTACAAAAAGAATTATAGGAACAACATCAGTAATAGGAGAGACAAAGTGGAAAATCCCCACAGCCACACTGTGTGGCAGGTTTCCTTCTTGTTGGTCAAAGCTGGAGCATTTTGTGTTCTGGCTGACAAACAGCAGTCAAGCAGAGGCAGAGCAGAAGTGCTGGTTAACAGAGGTAACATTTGGATTTGATTCAAGTATCACAGACCGTTGAAATGTTGGGTTAGAAACAAACATAAAATGCTGAAATTTAATCAAACAAAATCCTCTTGCAATACATCTGTTATCTTTACTACCCAGAACCCAGCCCGCCCTGTGCCCGCTCCCCAGGGCTAGTAACTGTTCTCATGGAGGCAGTATGACAACAGGCTCAATGCTGTGTGTGGCAATATCAGCTGGCACCTTATTTGCATATGTATTTGCATTTTCCCTTATAATTGTTCAGGATAGTAGCACTAAAAGCAAATCTTGCTGTATTTCATATGAAAAGTCAGCAGCGAGTCTGGCTCTCTGTTGACCAAAAAGTGCATTAAATTTCTTTTCGTGGAGCAGCTGAAATGCAGCCTACTTTTTTACTAAAAACAAACAGTTTGCTCCTGTTAAGTAGGAATGACCCGAAACATCTGTGTAAGCTGGGACAAAGCAGTGTAGGCTCCTGGAATCCCAGCCATGGATGGAAAAGGTCCACTCCACAGGGTTCTGAAGTGCTCACATTACCTCTACATGCTGAATATAGTCACACAGCCCAGTGATGTTTTGATTAAAGGTCCAAGACCCACATTTACACTGATGCCTATGGCTGCAAGTGCTGTGGAATTCACACAGCGAGGTGTGCTGTGGACAAATGGATTGCCAAACCTGCTGTGGTTGGTGAGAGTCAGGTGCTCACCAGCCCAGCTGCCTTTGGAAGCAGTTATAGCTGCCTTTTAAAATCTGGTCCAGGATTCCCACTGCTTCTTCTATGACTTCAGGGATAACTCTTGGTGTCTCTTAACCATTTTTTTTTTTATGCAATGACTCACCTGTTTTTCTTCATCTTTTTCCAAGAAATTTGCATGTAACTTGAGATGAGTAAGAGAAAACAGAGGCCAAGAGTAGATTTGTTAATTTAATTTTAGAAAGAGGACAAAACAGTGCTGAGAATGAACCATAAGTATGCCCTTGAGGGAAGGGACACTGAAGTACATTGCTGTATTTGCTGTATTTACTCTCCCCTAACTCTCTAATGAGCTTACTTCAAAGATTTGTAACATGTCTCTCTGCCTGGTGAAAAGCTGCAGGCGCAGAAATACCTCCAGTTTGGAACAAACACAAGTGTTCTGCAGTGGGTATAACCCTGCAGCAGTGTGCTCTGCTAAGCCTGTGCATCTCATGTCCTACCAGAAGGGCTTAGCTTAGAGGGTCTTGCTGGTCTTGGTTAGTCCCTGATGTGTGCATGGAGCTGCACTCTGCATCACAGATGTGCCCCAAGCTGAAGTCCTACCACAAACCTTTTCTACATGGAATTTCCACTCATAACAAAGGGATTTTCCCATGTGGTGGGGCAGCCTGTGTCCACGATGGAGGGTATTCAGACCAGTAAGCTTTAAACATTGTATTTTTCTGCCTTAATGAACCAATTAATTTCCCAGGGCTTCTTACACAGTGGAGGAACTCTGAATGTAGGGTGAAAGCCTGTGCCTAGCAGTGTCTGTTGGAAGAGTTCCTCTTCCTCCCCACTGGCTGAAGGACCCTATGGCATTAGCTGGACAGTTTAGCCAGGTAAATTACCCAGAACTGGAGATGGGTGCATAAGCAGTCTTGCAGTGCTTTATGATAGTACCTGTATGCTAACTACACAAAGGCACTAAGTGCAGCCTCTCTTTTCTGATGGTGGTTGGAAGTAGATGCGTATGAATTAATGGGATTTTTCCAGATGTGTTTGCCCCAGCATATGTGAAAGTCAAATTTGGTCCAGTATCTTGACCACTGATAAGGGCCTCTACTGAGCACAACGATCTTTAATGGACTACTGAGCGTTACAAAAGGAAGTTGCCTTCCCCCACCCCATTTTACAGAGAAAACAGGAACTGGGAGCCCAAAGCATAGTTAATTAACAACTGCATCGGGCTGTCTTTGTGAGTCACACAACCAGGTTAGAGGAAAGCTGGAAGCACAGATTGTGAGAGAAAAAATGCTGTCTGTCTTTGAAACTGAAGATTATCTGTAGCAAGTGATCAGCTGCTACTAATGGCTAACTGTATTTCATAGGGAAAGTAGTGCTATGGACAACAGACCCCGCTACATCTTAAAGTCGTTGAAGCTTCTGGTAAAATTTAGCTTCAACCTTTTGCTAAAAATTAAACTCTATATTTTTATGGAGTCTGTTCTTGCCAGCCCCTGTGACAGCAAGGGACTGGCAAACACACAAGGGAGCTCATTGCTTGGACAGGAGTGCCTACTGAAAATGGAAGTGTCATGGCACTTTTTGGATTCAATGCAGGATATAAAAGCAGTAGCTTGCTAGAACTGACACTCTCGTTTGTTGCCATTCATGTAGCTGTACAACAGTGTTGTAGTAGTTACCCCTGAGGGGAAGACAGCCAAAAGGACCCAAGAGGAAAAAACTGTTTCACTATTTTAGTGCAAAGAAGCACCTTAGAAGGGCTTCTTTTACTGGTTATAAATATCAGACCTCAAAGCAGACCCAGCATTTGTGTGTTCCCCTCCTATGTTCAAACTCAAAGTTCCTTAATCCTCAGTGATGCTCTCTGGTGACTTTGCAGAGTATCACATGTAAAACTGTAATGTAATTCTGGAACATTGAAGATTATGAAAAAAAACCCAACCCAAACCCAAACCCCAAATTAAAAGGGGTTTGTTTTTTTAGGGGGTGGTTTCTGACTTCACGATATGAATTTCACTTGATCCTTGGTGAAGCCCTAACTCCCGCTTCACTGCACGGCATCTTGGAGTATCAAAAAAATGCAGGATTGTGCCCTTTGATATAATTCAGAAGACATTCATATTCTCACTGAATTAGATTGGGAAGCTGTTCTCTCTGGTTCCTTCAGTGGGTAAATTTATAATACAAAACACTCTACTTGGAGCAGGTGTTTGCAGGATTGTGCTACACTGAATCAGGAGCCTCGTTTGCAGCATAAGTTCCATTCTAAAGCTGACTTCCATTTCCCTCTAAATTCAGATAATCCTGTTCTCAAATTTTCAAGGTTAACTGCAGAGCTTAAACCCTTCTTTCTGCTACACTCAGTGGAAATACTTAATTTTAACTTGCAATTTATAGATGTCTTCATGTGAGTTGATGAGTGTACAATGTTTTAGGCTAGAAAAGGTTTATTTCATTCCCATTGCTTAATTTATATTTAAATCTTATTATTGCTCTTTTCTGTTCTTTCTGGCAAAGGTGAAGTTTCCAAAGATAAAGAATAGTTTGTCTTTCAGAAGACATTTCTGAAGAAAAAACCCCACAAAAACAGAATACAACCTGTTTGAAATTTTTAAGAGCCCAAATAAAAGAAGAGGTTGTATGGATTCATGATTCTTTAAATATAAAGTCATATTTAAAAGCATTTCAGTTCTTTACAACAAAATTAATCATGTATCACTCATCCACCCTTGCAAACTCAAATGTACTTGGGGCAAGATACTTGAATGTGGGAGTTTTTTTTGTGGAAAAATGAGCAGAACATCTGGAATTCCTGTGGTAAAACTGGGCAAATGGACATTCTGGCAGGGAGAATAAATTATAATAGAAAATTTGTCCAAGATGAATGGAAATCCTTGTACATCTGTAGTATATAGAAAAATGTTTAGAATATAACTACAGCATTTGTTCTTTAGAAACTTCATTTAGCTCCCAGTGACGTTGGGAATGCCACTGGTTTTACCAAACTTTGCCTTAGGCTTCCATGGATAAATATATAGCGTGATCTAACAAATTCCACATCCCCTTAATGTAGAAATGCACTTACTGTGTGAACTTGCAAAATCTTTTTCTTTTCTGCTTTAATGTATTGAATCAATTTGGTGGTATATGAGGAGCATCTATAAATAGCTATTTCCATATGCTAGAAACTGTTACCCTAATCAGCATATCATCCTTGGGAAGGATGGAAAAATAAGAAAATAAGAGATTTGAAGCAAAAATCCTAAACAGGAGAGGACTGAATTTGCATAAAGCACAACTGGCACAGATGAACTGATGTCAGCAGAGGTGTGCTGGTTTCTGAGTTTAAAAGTCTGGCCCTGTAAAAGAGCAATTAAAGGGAAAAATATAGCATGCACTCTCCTCAATACTTAAGTATAAAAATTTGCATATAAAGGTTATTCCTGCTGCATGGAGCTTGCTGAGACACAGGTGTATGAGACCATTGTCACATCTTTTCTATTTTGTTCTGTTATTGCCATTTTCATATGTGAGAGTGAAGTAAGTATATGGCATATACTGAAGTAAGTATATGAAGTAAGTATCTGGTATAACTTTAAAAGACTTAACTCATTTGAATGAAGTGAACCATTATCATAAAGGAATCCTCAGGACAAGTGATTTAAGCAGTGGAATAGGTTACATATTTGCAAACACAAGCAAAGAAGAAAAAGCTCAGAAAAACATATCAGAGAAATGAGAAAAACAATTAAATTGTTTAAAAGGATAAATCAATCACCTCTCTGGGGGACTTTGCTTTACTGGGTTCGCCTTGAAATCTCCCCAGCCAAGCGAGATGTCGTCTTCTCTCTGGACTCTTCTTCCACTTTTTCACTTAGTCGCAGGCTGCTGAAATAGATACTTCTCCTTTTTTCTCTCTCTGTTTTTTTGCCCCTGTTCCCCTCCCTGATTTTTCAATCAGATTATTTGTGTCAAAATCTGGCGGTGAAGAAACAACCAATAGAGAAGCAGAGCCCAGACAGTATTTGCTTATCAAAACTTTCCAGGACTTTGAAAACTTGAAGAGAATTCACGATGCCCAGCTCGAAACCCTGGCAGCAGCACCCTTCACTCTCTGGGGCAGCTTCGCCTTCTGCAGGAATACTCCTTATTGACACAGAGCATGACACGGTGAAATAAGGTACCAAGCAGACATTTGTTATTTTGTCTTAAAAAAAAAAAAAAGCTCTTAAGAAACCTGTATTTTTACACACATTCATCCACGCATCGTGTCTTTCACAAACAGGCACACCATCTGTCTCGCATACACACACTCACATACTTCAGGCTCATAAACAAAGCCATCTAGCACATATGCACAAAATTATTTTATCCGAGAATGGATCTGTTATCTCTCCAATTTCCAAGGAAAAAGGAATAAATACTTGCACGGTAATAACTGAAAAAGATGTGTGTTAATCAGCCTTCATTTTTCTAGGCATATGTGTGTGCAATACATACATATTTGAGGCACTGCTCTATCTATATACAGCTGTATAGAAGATATAAATATAGATTTAAGAAAGCTCATTAAGCAAGCTCATTAACAAGCATCTTTGCAAAAAGCTCTTCAAGAGCAGTAATAAGAATTTGCACTTCTAACACTTGCTTTCAAAAAAGGTTTGAAAATGGGTTTGCAAAAGCAAAATAATTGACTGCCACCCCCTCTGTAAGGGCAGGATGGAAGGAGGGAGAATGAAGCAGAAGCAATGCCTTTTCTTAGATCACCTGGTTGTTCTCTAGCAGAGGTAGGAATAGGAGCTGCAGAGCAGTGATCTTCTTTTCAGAATCCTTGGTCATATCTCTTATTTAGGGACAAAGGAGACCTGATCTCCCCAAATGCTGGGGGGGGGTGGGGGGGGTGGTGGTGGTGTGTGTAATTCCTTGATTTCACCTCTTCTATGCCAGTTTTCCTGACTGTGCAAGTGTCCAATGTCATGAGTTCTACGTGCCTTCAGTATCCCTTGTGCTTACAGCACACTCTGTGCATGGCTGGAACTGGGACAGCGAAGATGCCTTCTGAGAAGTTTATAATCTAAGACATATATAAACACACAAGCAGCTGTTGAGTGCCAAGGGACATCACCAGCAGAGAAATACTTTTAGAGCATGGAGTTTTTCTGCTCTGTGTGAGCTTTCTAACACCGTTTTCCAAAGTCAGTTGTACTAAACCGTGACTCAGTCAGGTCCCTTTTCCTACCACAGCTCAAGGCGGTGAAAGCACCAGGAAACAATAATAACCATTTTACTGCCCTGCAAAAGGGTCGGCAGCAGACTGGCATTTCCCTGATGGAGCAGATGTGGTCCAGAGACGCTTCAAATTCATCACGGAGGTAATTTTGCATCCCGCCGTGGCAGGCAGTGCTCAGGTCTGATGGCCCTAGCGCTCTCTGCTGGGACAGCCACAAGTCACAGCCCTTGTCATCGCGGCTGTCATTGCCCCATGGCACTGGACAGGCTGTGCAATGGGGTTTGATGCAATGTGGAGATAGGAGCGTAGATTTCACCCACATTGAGAAAGATTATGATTTTGTTCTTAACCCATCTGTCATTTACTGAACATAATTAATTCTTGTTGTTTATAGAAGCAAACAATCCCTTTTCCCTCTCCCTCCTCCCCTCCTTATTTATCTAGCTGGGTTTTGCATGAAAGAAACATTCCCAAGGCATTGCACTAGCACACTGATTTGCATTGCCTTAAACACAGGCATGTGAGAGATTACATTTCCCGCTACAAAAACAAGTATTGTAACAGAAACCCAAAATGTACATTGCAGCTTCAGGGTTTCATATGAAGACAGTTACAGGAATTAAACAAAACAGCAAAATTACAAGCTGCTGAAAGGATCGAGATGTTATTTTATGAAACATTGGAGCTGGCTTCTGTCAGCACCCCTGAGCATAGGCTTTGACATAAAGTGGCTCTTAAAACCAGAGATAGTAAAAGCAAGTGGAAAAAAAAAACCAGTTGTGCAAAAAATCCCATAGAATGTTCAGTAAAACCAAAGAACACTGGCACAGTCCTTTGGAGAAGGAGGATGATGAATACACCTCCCAGTGTCAGGAAACTTGTGTAGACCAGCTGTAAATAAAACATCTGTATCAGAGGTTTTGCTTCTCAAAGTAGCTGTTGTCTCACAAAGACCAGTTATAACTGCATACAAACTGATGCTGGAGATAATGAGCAGAGATACCCTCTTTTATGACTATTATCACTGTGCTAGATTGCCTGAAGAGGGATGGGGACACGCTGTGTCCACCTCAGCTCTCACCCACCCCTTCTCCCTTTATTTTATTTCAGGATATTTATTTTATTTTGGGGTATATATACAGAGAAAACAGTTGCAGGATGGGAGAGCAGTCAGCTCTTGCCTTGGCTTGTGTTGTTCTTACTCTTCCCTAGATTTCTGTTTATGGCTTCTGTTAAACTTATCAGCTCTTCTCTCCATTGAAACCACCATCAAAAGGCATTTTATACAAGCGTAATTAAAAAGCAGAGTGCCAGAGATGCATTTTGGTCTTGAAGGGCCTTTGAGCTGACCCCGTGTGGTCATCTTATTTTATGTTCTTCCTGTTGAGATAAATTTCCAAGTTCTCTTCTTATTTCGGGGTCATCAGAGAGCGTAGAGCTGCAGAGGGCTTATCTGGGCTCGCATAGGCTTGGCCTGGCCCTGACCCTCATGGGCCACGGTGCATCTACAGCGAGTTCCACTTCTATCTGAGGACAGTTTGCTTTTGTGTATTGCTATGAGTTCTTCCTGCATGCCATGTGCTCCAGTGCATCCTGAGTCAATAGATTATTAAATGCATAACTCAGTAATAATAAACAGGTTAATTATAAAACATTGTGTCCGTTCTAATGCAGTCATTTTCCCTTTCAAATGTAGCAACAAACCCCTCCTCTAGCATCCATGTTTTCTTTGTCAATTTGAATATTACAGCAATTAAGTCACAGTAAAATAACAGGAGTAATTGCTTCCAGCTCTTTTCTGACGCTCTTCCTAATTTTCACTCTTTTCTGTGGCAGATTAAATAAACATGTCTTCTGCACAGCAGGAAAAGAAATACCATCACTCATTCCAGACTGTAATAAATATTAATTGCCATGTACAAGGCAGGACTAGATTAAAAACATGCTGGCTCCCAGCAGCTCTATCTCATCCAGAAGCAGGATGACCTATTGCAGGTGCATTGGGAAGAGATGAGAGCTGTGAAACACCACAACTAATGCAACCAAAGTTAAACATGAGCTGATGCTCTCAGACATGGTTCTGATCTGCTTTTATTTTTCTTACACAGTTTCCACCTTGCAAATTTAATGTCTGTGATTCCTACTGGCATCTGAGGAGAATTCAAATGGATTGAGGAGTCAGATCAGCAGCTGCATCCTTGGTGCATCCCCATGGAACTGCCCTCGGAGAATGGGGAACACCAAGACCTGGGGATTGACACACTGAGCCGAAAACCTGCTGGCTATGGCACACCTGACTAAAAGCTGGACAACATTCCCCAAGGTAATTTCTGTTCTTTCCTATTCAGCATTTTCCACAGGGAAAAAAATAACCTTTATTTACATGGAAGGATGGACTATTTTGTGTCATGTGGTTGCTGCATTTCAGCAAGAAAATAATCTTCATCCACAGTTTGGATGAAGAAGCACTCAGGGGTCCAAAAGAGGATGAATGACATGAGCTTTGCACATTCATCAAGCAGAAAGGCATCCCATTTTGAGTGCCTGCGCCTGGATGTCTTTCTAGGACTCCTGCAGTCCAGCACACACGGGTGCTCACTTAACACCACTCACACACAGAGCCACTTCACTGAGTTTATTATTCCCTTTCAGCATATTCACGCATAGTAAAAACCGCTTCCAGGCCGCAGCTTAACACCGGGCTCACGGCGTGGCCCGCGGCCCCTCCTGCCCTGAGCGGCCAAAGCCCCCGAACACAGGAGGCCCCGATCCGCGCCCCTGTGTGCCGCGGGGGCAGCAGGACAGGCACCAGCGCATCCCCGCCGGGCGCTCACTGCCCCAAACACCGCCCTCGGGCGCCGCCGCCATTCCCTCCGGCAGGGCCTTGTTTACCGGCCGCCGCCCGGCCCCGCCCCTCGTGACGTAGGCACCGCCCGGGGCATCTCGCGGCACCGCCCCCAGAATCACGCGACCTCTTCGGCGGCCGCATCGCTTCCCGCGCTGAGATACCTCCGCCGCGGGAGACCGGGTGAGCAAGGTGGCTGTCACCGCAGCCTCGCTGCCCCACATGGAGGAAGGCCCTTGACGGGGAAGGGACCAGCGGGGCGGTGAAGGACCCGAGCGGGGTCGGACGAGGTGGGGATGAAGCGGAGAAGTGGAACTAGTTTGTGCGGCGGAGGGATTCGAGGGGAGAAACGTCCTGTGAATGGGAGGGGGAGGCAGGGCCAAGATGGCGGCGCCCTGTGGGCTAGCGGAGCCCTGAGTGGTAAACAGCTGAGGGGAGGAGAAGGAGAGGTGAGTGCGCTGGGCCTCCTCCTTCCTCCCCCAGCGGGGCGAGAGCGGGGGCAGACGGGGGGAACAGAGAGAAGGAGGCAGAGAAACGAGATGAGGCGGGAGGCAGGGAGAAAGGGCTCGGGGAGGAGGCAGTAGGAGAAAGGGAAGGGGCCGGGGGGATGGGAAAGCGAGGGTAAAGCCTGGCGGGGGGAGATGTTTCCCCTCCGTCCCCTTTTCTTCTCCTGAGCCAAACTTGCCCCTTGTCGCTCCCCACCCCCGCCGCGGTGGGCCTGCCCGGGGCTGAGGTCGCAGGGTCCCGTCCCCCCCCCCCCCAGCAAACGCGCCCCTTTAATTCTATACGGTTTATCGAAAAAGGTTCAGCATCCCCGTTTCAGACGCTGAGTAGAGATTGCCAGACCTCCGCCTCCTCAGTTACTTGATCAAGAGGTTCCCTCGTCCGGGGTCAGGCATTAAAGCAGTTGTAAAGCAGTCCCCTTGGTGGAGAAGGCTTGTCTTATTTCCTTGCTCGTGGGTATGTAATGTTGTACAGGATGTTGTTTACTTCTGCAAGAAAGCATTTTGCTTCCTGTTATCCCAAAGAACTTGGAAGGCTGCAGTTCTGAAGTTTTCATTCTTTGTTTGCTGTGGATGCAGTCTCTGTCATTGTTTTATCAGTTTAGTCAGGACTTCCCCTGTTGTTTGGCATATTTTTAATGAGCCTTTTACAAGGCAATGAGTGGAAGAAAGAACATGCCTTAAAGGAGTATATGATTCAAAACCTATAGAAATTACACAGAAACTGGGGTCAGGCTTCGTGTGCAGAACTGTTCCAGAGCTGCTCTTTTCCAGAGAACCTCCCAGTGGATGCTTATACCAAAGGTTTTCATTCTTTGTCTGGTCTGATCCTGTAGCTTCCTGACATTGACTTCTGTGGCAGGTTGTTAGAAATCTGTCATAATCGAAGCACTAATACTGAAGTGATCCCATTAGATGAAAAAATTCCTCTTCGATTTACATGTAGGAACAACTAGAAACTGAATCTTTGGAAGCTCAGGAAGTTTTAAGGATCAGTGCAAGCATTGGGAATACATGCTCCTGTCTGCAGTTGGCTTTGCTTTGCTAAGCAGCAGTCAGGTACTCTGCTTATCAAAACTAGCTATGCCACATTTAAGCTTAAAATAAAATCATGGGTTTAAGATCCTTTCCTCAGTAAAACACTTTTTTTGCTTGTTTGTTCATTTGTTCTGGGTTTTGTAATGTTTTGGGTTTTGTTTGGTTTGATTGGGTGTTTTTTTAACAGCCCAGTCAACCCAGTACTAAATTGTCTTTGTGGGGAGTTGCATGGGCTTACTCAGATGAAAATACAGTCAGAATATCTAATGTGTAATGAGGTGAGCGTTAATTAAAATTACTTTATCTCTGGCTGTGTTTAATCCTGGCTTCTTAACTCATTGTCACTTCAGAACTTAGTTTTATGGTAACTAATAAAAAGTAGCATTATTAAAGTGATCCCCCCTAAGAGATACTGTCCAATTGCAGATGTTTTGGTATTTGAACAAGTATTTGACTTGAGTACCTATTTGTAGTTTAAAATGAGTGCTGGCCCTACTTAGAGCTGAACTGCTGCCATGTTGACTTGTATCAGTTCCTGGAATTCCTACCGCCAGACACCTTATTAGCTCTGAGATGAGCTGGTGATGTGCTTACTGGTCAGTCTCTGTAAGAACTGAATAGACTGTAGCACATGTGCACATGTTCATATATATATCCACATATATTGAGATATGTCTATATATAGATAGATATTGTTGGAAAAGATACCTTCCATAAAATGCAAATAACTGAAGAACTTTACGATTCTATGATTCTGTAATGGTGGAGGCAGGGGAGGGGTACCAGATCTTATAGCATGTTATAGACAGGTATATATTTTTTTGTGATAATGTTACATTTAGGGTCTTGGTCTGAGCTCTGATGGCAGTATTTTCATATAGCTTAATAAACATAATAAGAACAAGTAATAATACTTCCTTTGTTAGCATTAGCATTTCTTTGAGTAGCACATTAAGATATAGAACAAGCAGTTCTTGCAGTGGTGAACTGCTGTCACTTTCCAGGGTATTACTATATTTTGGTTTTATTTAAGAAGTTACACATTATCTGGTATTTTGTTTAATGCAGACTTTAATTCCTGGGGTACTTAAAATGCCTCAGCTGAGCACACTACATAGTTTGCAGAGGTTTCAAGATTTACTGAACTCTCTAAATATGTGTGAAGGTTTCTCTTGGTGGCAAAAAAAAAATCTTCTGCAGAGGTTTGAGTCTTGCTCCTTGTGTTACTGTGAAATCCAGAGCTTTCTGTTTACCTGCTTATAGCTTTACAAAGATCCCTTAATTGAGTTTATTTTCCTTGTGTACTGTTAATTAAATTGACGTAGAAAAACAGGGCTTGTTCTTATTTATTTATTTGCTATTAATATATGCAGTTGTATGTAAGGAATTGAAATAATTCCCTTTCATGCTTGTTAGCATGGCTGCTGCCAAAGGGTGAGGTGTCAGCCCCACCATGTTTGGGCTTTTTTCAACATGCGTTGCCTTTAAACAATTTTCCCCCTGACAGGAATTTGATGGGTAGCAATTAGCACTGTGTATCAGCACAGTGGAGTTTCAGAAGAATCTTAAAAATTGCTGAATATAGTTCTCTCTCTTTGTTTGGGGTTATTGGTGTTTTTTTGTGATCTTCGTGTTAAGTACCTGTAACAAAATACAGAAGAAATTCTGTAATACTGAGTTACAAGTATTGAGTTCACAAATGGAATCTGGTATCAGAGCTTGAAATAACCAGAAAAATGTGGGCTACCAGAAGCCAGACACCTTCAGTGTTTAACAATGAATAAATAAATTGTACTGCCAATTGTAGCGATCAGTTTGAACTGAGGTTTAAAGTGTTTATGGAGTTGTTATTTCTGTGTGGTTAAAAAGGGAATGATCAGCTGCTTATTTTCCCGTTGCCACCAGTGGATTTTCTCCCTGCTGTCACTTTTCATTCATTGCTAATGTCACTTCTGTAATGTAGAGTTTAGTTTACCTATGAAGACAATATAAAAATAAGTGTTGGAAAATATAAATGAGGCTGGGATTTTTGTGTATCAGAGGGGGAGGGAGTAAGGCTAATCCTGTCATGATAAACACTTCAAAGATTTGAGTGAGAAGAGCTGTTTTATTGTCAATCTGGGGAATTTTTGTTATTGAAAGCAGTGATTGCTGTAAAATACTTCTGTCCTCATTCATGGCCTCTCCAAAGCAGTACCTGAGGACCGAAATCAGATGGAAAAGTATTAAGTCTTGAGGTCTGATATCACTTCATTGCTGTCAGCAGTGGCCTTACATTGTTGAAAATCCCCTTTTCCTTTGGAGTGGGGTGAATAACGTTTGATTGTCGTGCCCCGAATTTAACTGTGATGTTCATCCCCACACAAAGCACCCCTCAGAATAAGTGGCTCAATTTCTATGTTGTTCCAAATGCTGAGGGCATTCTGGGAGGAGCATGCATTTACTTTGTGTGTCCCCCTCCTCCCCACCCTTCAGAGGAGCATAACTGGCACTACCAGCTGCTTTTTCATTTGGCTTGAGATAAAAATACACTGAACAGAAGAACATCTTCTCTTGACAGAAATACTTCCAGAAGTCATAATCTTTTGAAATACTCAGCTATCTCTTTCTCTATTTAGCCTTTTCCAAGGAATATTTTTACAGTCTTTTCCTTTGTCTCAAGTTTGTAGCTTAACTGAATTGTGTTGTGGTTAAATTAGCTGCTAATTTAAAAAGAATTGTTAAAACAAATTGGGTCTTGCCTTTTTTTCTCTGGAAGCTAGCTCCAAAGTTGTACTGGTGCTTAAAATTAACACTTCTTACTAAAATTTGTCTTTATGAAAGCTCCTGAATATAAGAAGTTTGCTACTGGTGTTATATCTTCCAGTGAGATTAAAATGTTGCATTTTAAAATGTATTTAATGAGGTTTTTTTTCACTCTTTAGTCTCTAGTGCCTTGGATCTATTATATAAAACTCATTTTAAAAGTTAGTGAAGAACCAGTGACTCAAACTATATGGAAGGGTTGCTGACTTTATTTTAACCCTGTCCCAAGTAAGGCTTCAGGGATGTGAAAATTCTACTAGTAGGGGAATGATTGCAATAGCTGGGAATGGAAGCATTAGAGAGACTCATCTTGTTTACTGTGTATTTGAGAAGAAAGAAGTGGCTATGATACGAATACTGTAAAGATTTGAGGGAAATCCTGTTTACCACAGATGTTGTATCAAACCCAGATACAAACTCCTGTACATTATGGCATATACATTGTGGCATTCAATAGATGATCTTGCTGTTTTACATTATAATGGATGTTCCTTAACCTGTCCTGGGTTCCTTATCTACAGGGTGTGAAAATCATGTCACAAATTACTGGTGGGACTGGTCATAAATCATGCTGACACTGTGGGCCCTGGGAACTGTACTTCATTTACCAGCACACGGTGTTTCTGATTGAAGTTAAAAGGCTGTTGCTGAAAAGTAGTTATTCAGCTGTCTTTGCTTAAAAAAAAGTGAGATGTGATTTAAGGCAATGCTGGAATTTCCTGGTTTGTTCATTTGTGTTGGGCATCATGGACCCAGTATGATTTAGAGGATCTCAGTCTGACTCAGGACTTCAGATCTGTTCCTCACAAATTTACAAGAGATCCTGCATTGAGCAAGCTGTGATTTGCTTTTTGAAAAATGTGGCTATTTGTGTATAGGGTGACAACATTGTACTGGTGTTTATAAACTTCAGCAGTTAAACTGCCCACCTACTGAACTACCTGTGTGTAATATTGTCCCATTTTTAGATGGGGTTTGAAATACTTTTATTAATATAATGAATACGGGCTTTTGGAGTGGAACCTGTTCCAGTTTACATCATGTACTTCAGTGCCCAATCAACTGATTGACAAGTTTGTCTAAACTGTGCTTAATTTATTAGCATAAGGTCTCCGGAGGCATCTGTTTCAGTTTAGGGAGTTTGGGAAATTATTTGTTACCTATGTGTATAGTTATCTGCAACAAAGCTTGCCTTACGAACCTTGCTGTCTGATTGTCATGTCTATGTGTGCCATCAGGCCAATAGCATGAAGTTTGAAATCCTCTTACCTACTGAACATTTAAACCAGTGATTTCCCATCTGTCTGCAAGTGTATTGTTGAACCTGATGTCCACAACTCACCTAGAGTGTCTGTAAAGGCATATTGGCTTTACAGTGCTATAGCTTTTCCTATTAGAATTGGTGAAATCTGTTGTTGAGGTCTTTACTGGAGAAGATCTGGTATTACTAGAGGAAAATAAGATACAGAAATCATTCTTTTCACTCTGGTGGGGGGTGGGGAAACAGAGAAAAGAGAGTTGTTAAGGTGTTCATGGGGTAAAAAAGCAGAGTCTAGCATGTATGCTGCTTTAATTCTCCAAACAGGTTTTGCTTGCAGCTGGTTTGGGGGTGTGTTCATGCATCTCTTTTGTTAACAAGACTTTAAACAACTAATTCATGTTGCTTAGGAAGCTGGTGAATTTATTGCTTAACCATAGCTGAGCCTCTGTCCTGATAGAAATTGGGGCACCTTTACAGTCTCAGAGAGAGTGTTCTCAAAAATAAAAGAATAGATTCATGGTAGTAGAGTATTGCCCCGTATGTAGTTCTGCATTTTCTCTGGTATCTCAGTGTAGCTGTAATTTAGTAAATGAAATATTACAGCTGTTGCTAGAAACTAATAAAGCAGTTGACTCCTGAAAATGAGTAGCAGAGTGGAGGGTTGACTACTTAGGTTGCATGAATGAGTGGCTTTAAGCTGTCTGAAAGGACAATGTCACTCCTTGAACACTGCTTGCGTTCTAAACAGCAAGCTCTTTGAGGAACAAGTTGAAGCTTGGAAGTCTGCACAATGTAGAGGAAAAAAAACCCCAAAAAAACCTGAAAACCCCAAGCCACAACAAATCCCAGCTCTAATATTTTTGGAAAGCAGAGATCTGTTCTGGTTTGAGTAAAAAAGCAACTCCTTTCTGCCACCCCAAGTTTATCTTTTATTAGCTTTAGTTGAAAGTCTTGCTTACACTACCAGCCAATTTGAAGTGTGCAGTTGTAACATCTTGCCAGCATGGGACTTAACAAAGAAACAGCATTTCAATCTGAAGCACTTGGTTTAGAGACTCTTTTGACTGCTTCAGATGAACTGAAAGTTTGGACTGTACAGCTGTGACCATTGAGAAGTGATGTGTGTGGGGGCATGTGTGTGTGTAATTTTGTTTTCTAAAGCAGTGATTACTGTAACACTTAAAAAAGTTTGTTGCTACAGAAATGCCGGTTGTGAGTGTGGTGCCATATTATCACCTTTGAGTTTGTAATCAGTGCCAGATTAAGTAAGCTGATGTCTTGTGGCCCTAATAAAAGTGACCTTGGGCAGTTCTGCAACTACGGAGCGATATGTTGCAAATGACAAAGTTTACTGGTAGACAGGTTAACTCCTGCTGTCCAGAAACATTGTTATATGCAAGTTTTCAAGAAAGTAATGTATATAAGCAATTACATCATTATTATTTAAAATTGGCAATGTTTTGACTAGAATCTAAAGACTTAAGCTGTTACGGTAATTATTCTATGTTCAGAATTTGGTAGGATAAAAGGAGACTTCTTTGTGTGTAATATTTCACCTACCATAAATAAAGCTAGCAGCTTTTGAAGGTTCACAGTACAAAACTACACTGTTGTGAAAGCAGTCTTGTTTGAGACTATTGCATAGCTTAACCTGTGGACAATTCTGGAAAGGGAACTATGCAAAACTTTTTGGTGTTTTTCAAACTAAGGGCTAACTTTCCTCATGCAGGAGCTTCATAGCTCTGCTGTTCTTACTGAATAACTTAATGCTGTTCTGAATATCCGAGGTTTGATAAGGAAGAAATAAATGGTTCTTTTTGTTAACCTCTTCATGCTTTTTCCTTACTAGTGATCATGAAAGGTGTGTGGCTGTCAGAACTGCAGACAGAAGCTCAGCTTGTCCACAGAACAGGTGCTGTATACACAATTGCAGTAAGAAAAATTGTGTGTAAACTTGGTATGTGTCAGTCTTGCCTTCCATAAAGGAAGTGAAAAATATGTGCTGACTTGAAGCAGGAGGAAAGAAGAAACCTTTGCTAGTAGAATTAGGTGTGGTGTGAAGCCAGTCTCTCTGCCCTTGGGAAAGCTTCAGCATGGAATTCATATGGGTAAAAAATAAACCTGTATTCATTTTGTGATTGATAGATAGATATGATACATGAATCCCTCCATTGCTGGTACATGGGAGAAAGCCATCTTACAAGCCAGAATGGCCTAGATTTATTCCTGCTTAGTACTGTGAAGCTGACAAGTCATGTTGTTTGCATGCTGTTGCATTTAGTAATCTCTGCAGGGTTTGACTACAAAGTTTTTAATATATTATGCACTAATTATGTGCAAACTAAATTATATGCACTAAATTATGTGCACTAAATTACATGCACTAAATATGTGCAGACAAGGTATTTTGTGCTGCTAAGTTAGTGATTTAGTATGCACAGGTTGGCCAGAGAGCAGCAGCTGTAGTAACCCTAACTGATTTTCCTAACAGCTGCAGCTTGGCCATGTTGCAAGTATTAAAGCACAAATCTATTAGTATGCAATAATGCAAAGCTGAGGGCAGTGAATTTCTAATCTAGCCACAGCAGTGGAGAGGGCTCTTGAGGTTCGTGTTGTCTCCAGAATGTAGACCACTATACAAAGGACTTGCAATTATGGTTGAGGAGAAATCGCTGTAAGAAAGTGAGAATGGAGTTATTCCAGGGAGCTATCTCCATTTTATTCAAAACTTCAGTCTTACTTTACTGACCTGGAGAGCAAATTAAAACCAATATGGTCATGGAATGCTCTGACGGTGTATATGTGCTAGCCAGTGCCTTCTGCAGAACAGATTAGTGTCTCAATTATGAAGAAAACCCTGCTCGTGACTCACTGGCTTGTTTGGAAACTTCTCTTACAGCCTTTATTGCAGGTGTGTAAACTCCATGAATCTTTTCTGTATTAAATGGGCAATACTGCAGAAAAGAAATAGGGAAGAGATGGGATATGCAGAATGGAAAGGGAAAAGGGAAAGTTCATTCATTTGCTCTCTTTTCTAGTCTGGTAAGAGACACCAATGAGGAACTCCTGAAATTTTAACCTCCACATTCATGTCAGTACGTGCATCATGGCACAGCAAGGAAATGTTGGTGAGCTCCTCTCAATGCTGGATTCTCCAATTCTGGGTGTCCTGGAAGATATAACAGCTGCCTTCAAAGATAATCTCATTTGTGGTATGTATCCTTTGACGTAATTTGAGGAAGGGTTGTGCTTTTACACCAATAGAGGTAATGGGTTTTTTTTCTTTCTATCAAACGCAGTCTTTGCAAATGTAACTTGAAAGAAACTCTTGATATTTGGGTTTGAAATTGCTTTAAGGATTGAGGCTTCTCTTCAGTCCATTTTGCTTAATGGCATGCCTCTTGGAAAGTCTGTTACATAATTGTTAAAATGCTATTATAAAATGATGAGCTTTTCCTAGGGCATAACCTCAAGCTGTGAGCTGATGAAACTTTGTCAAGTGTATCTAGAAAGAATTAGGTATCCATGTTATGGGAACTAGCAGGATTCTGTTAATTCAAAAAATAAACATTAACAAAATACCCCACCGAAGATCAGACAGTACTTGTTATTAAAAAGCCCCAGTTACCTTCCCCAAGCCAAATGCAACTGCGTGAATGGTTAAGAACTAGAAAATGGAGTTGAGAGGTCTCATTTTCCCAGATGTCTTGTAAACACCAAGTACTGGTTTATGTTATAAATTGTGTAATAGTTTCTACGAAGTTGTGCAATGTCCCTGTAACAGATGCTTTGTTTTTGGGGTATTGAGAATATATGTGTGTGTTTTTCTTGTTGTAAACAAATGACAGACCGTGGACCTATGCTTGTGAACAGCCTGGTGGACTACTACTTGGAAACCAGTTCTCAGCAGGCACTGCATATATTGTCCACCCTGCAAGAGCCTCATGACAAGGTGAAGAAGTCTTGTTTTGTATGGCAAATTTTTAGCCTGGTATTGAAGCAGCCCTTAAATAGCATCTGTTAGACCTCTGTTTTTCCACTGCAGTATAGAATTACCTTGTTGTAGAGATGCAGTATCTTTGTAGTAAGAGTAGTTAAGTTTTAAAAAAGCTTCAAAGTTCTCTGTTCCCTGGGTTTCTTAAATTGACCCAATTAAGCAAAGAACCCCTATAAGTGAAAGCTTTTCTGGGGACTAATGTTGTCTTTGCAATTTTACTGATGCTTGTGCAGTGCTGGATGTGTTAGCCTAAAACAAATGGGGTATTTTGAGAGTAAGTATGGATTTTTAGATAGCTTGAGAGAATAGCACTGCAAGTTGCTTTACTTCTGCTGGCCAGATTTTTATTTATTTGTGATAAACATTCTGAAGTGCAGTGACAGCTTCTGAACTGAAACATTTCACTACCAGCAGGCTTAAAGTTATTGCTGGGTTTTATTTGCTCTTAGGTCCTGTATATTTGTAAAATGTCCATACTTCCGTAATTGGTTGTGGCAAACTGCTGATTATAGATTGGTGAAAAAGAGTATGTGCCAGTTAAAAATAAATGCCTTTCCTTTTTTTTTACCATTCTCTGCAAAATTCTCTATCAGCATCTGCTGGATAAAATTAATGAATATATGGGCAAAGCTGCTACCCGTTTACCCACTCTCTCTCTGCTGGGACACGTGATAAGACGACAACCATCTTGGAAACATAAACTTTCTCAAGCACCTCTCCTACTGTCATTACTTAAATGTCTCAAGGTAAGAACTGTCAGTGTTGTCCATAAAATTGTTGTACGCCTGATGTAAATATACATACTTGTAATGCAAGGCAATTATTTTCTGGTTTGATGTCATTTAGTTAACTGTGAGAGAATGTAAAATGTTGATTAAAATACTGAGACAATTATAATAACTAAATACTCTGTGCTGATCCTGTTATTACTGACAATCTTTTCCTAAAAGCCACTGTCACCTCTTAACTTTGAGTTAGGAAAGTTTACTACAATTTTTCTAAAAGGAAGTTAAGGTCAAGAGGACCATCAGTGAAGTTGATGGATATCTTGAGTGTGAACTTAATGAGGATGCAATAACTTCCCATTAGTGCATTCTGAAACTTGTGCATTAAAGGTAATATACTTTACTTGCAGTGTAGATGGGTCATGCAAGATGATATTTCATGGTGCAGTTACCTTGGAATTAGCAGACTTTACTAGCTGCAGATAAGGAGGTGGCTGTTTCCCCATGTTTTGCATTTTTCTTTTTCCCTCTGCAAATTTAGCGGTTACAATCCTGTACAATATTGTACAGTGAATAAAGAACAGAAAGTGTTTTGAGACATAGGATGTCTTGTTAGTAATCTGATTTAATATGATAGTGAAGAATTCATATTAAAGTCACATTAAAATCCATGATGTAGTCAAGTGCCAGTGTGCTTCAAAACAAAAATACAATGAATTTGTAACTGCCAAAAAAGAAAGTACAGGTGCTGTTACTGGGACTCCTGATGTGCCTGGTGAGTTCTGTTATCCTTTTCAGTGTGAGTCTTATCTGACTGTGAGAGGAGTGAAATGTGTGAGAAAGCTGGTGGGAGCAGATCAGAGAGGCGAAGTGCTAGGGATGTGTCAGAGGGATGGGGATGGACATGAAATGTGCTGTGAAAGGTTATATCAGACTGAATTACAACAGAGGTGGTGCCTTACACACAGGAAGAAAAATCCGTAACACTAAGTATGTCTGATCAGCCCAAGTGGCTCTTGAGAGATACCAGGACCACTTTGGTGGCACCTGCCTTCATGTTTACCAGTGCTGTTTGCACCCCTGTCGTCACAAAGCAGAGGAGCCAAGGAAAACGTTCATTAAGCTAGGAAAGAATTTGAACATCATCTGTGTCCTGTCCTAAAATCTGATTATTTATTACTGTTTATCTAGCTAAACATTTTTACTGCCACATCCCTTTCTCTTGATATAAGCCAAGGGATTCTAGTTATTGTTTAAATCACTGCTTTATGAAATCCTAGCAGCCAGAGTTGTCAAGCAGCTTTAATAGAAAAGCTTTTGACACTTGCACTGGTAGTGGGTCAACATCCTTGAACACCCTGATCAGATTTGCAGTTTCCTAGGCTCTGAATGCAGTGTGTTTTTAGCTCTGGAAAAGAAGGAAGGTGGTACATAAGGTACATATTTTCTACTCAGTTGTGGAACTGTGGTGATATTCCCTATTTATCTAGGTAAAATCTTTATACAGTGAAGCAGCAGTAGAGTAGGAGCCAGAATCCCGAATCTTTCTTCTTAGAGTTGTGGATGAAAGAGAGGAGAATCTTGGTCCATGAAGTTATGATAGATTTGAGAGGGACTGTTCTGAAGTAGGGGACTTTTTCCATGATGATGATTCAATGTTCATTTCATCCTTGGAAAAAAATAAGTTCAACACTTTTAACTGACTAATGCAGGTTTTTTCCCTTCTTGCAGACTGACACAGATGTAGTAGTACTCACCACAGGTGTCCTAGTGCTAATAACCATGTTGCCAATGATTCCTCAGTCTGGCAAACAGTACCTTCATGATTTCTTTGGTATCTTTGGGCGTCTCTCAGCCTGGTGCTTGCAGAATCCAGGTGAGAATTCAACTTTGTTGCATGCAGTTATGGTTTAGTAGTATCCTTGGTGTATTCAGTGGCTAAGCCCTTTCTTTTCAGAGACTCTTACTGGTCTGAGATTATTTAAATGCAGAAAATTATGTATTAAGCACACAAAGTACTTTTAATAGCTAGCATTGGGGAGTGCTGCTTTGCTTAAAATTCAGAAGTCTCTTAGATTCTTCCATGTGGTGCTCCATGGAAACTTCCATGAAGTTTTACTGGACTGAAATGCTACCATAATGACAGTGAAAAGCAGAGATTGATCTTGATGGATAAGGGAAAATGCTAACATTTGAGGCAGATACTTGGGAAATTGAGATTCCCTGGAATGGATGGGGAGGGGGAAGAAGCAGCATGTAAGAGTTTCTGTTAATGTGCACCTATTAGTAGTCATGAAAGTGTTGGTAAAACTAGTCCTCTCAGTTGTAATGTTGGGTTTGTTGAATTTGTTGTAAGGTGTCTGATATCTAACACTGCTGTTACCTACGTATGTGTCTTAAGGCTGTGTGAACAAGTGCTGTGTTCAGCACATAGAGATGCTATTTAGAGGGCCATTTTGGTTGCAAATAGGGTTGGAACTTACAAGACAGCTGGTAAGATTCAAGTCTGTTGTAATTGCTTTGTGTGGATACAAGCTGTTAGTTTTTCCTTTTGAAATGAAGCAAACCTTTTTTAACCATTCAGCCCTGCAGACTCTGGCTCACTGTTCAGAGGTGTTTCAGGGTTTAGCTTGAGTAAAACAATAAATGTTATGCTTCAAGAATGACAGAATGCTGGTTGGAATTAATGGTTCTTATCTTAATATTTGGTTTTGCTGTGAACTGATGAATAGGTGTTGCCTGTTCTTTCAGATTTCTCAGTTTCTGTAGGGAATATTTGTATCTCAGAAGACCTGTTCCAGTTAACATTTCAAATTTTAAAGTACTTTTCTTGCATTCTTAGAAGCTTTGTTCTTTTCTCCAATGTAATGAAAAATATTTTAATTATTTTTTTTCAGGTCATGTGGCAGAGATTTATCTTGTCCATCTTCATGCCAGTGTTTATGCTCTCTTTCATCGTCTTTATGGAATGTATCCTTGCAATTTTGTCTCCTTTCTGCGTTCTCACTACAGTATGAAGGAAAACTTGGAGACCTTTGAAGAGGTAGTCAAGGTAAAATGCTGCTTATTTCTATATTATCTGAGACAAGGAGTTCATAGCTGTATAAAGGCAGGTATTTGCCAATTTAATACATTTACATGGGTTTAACCGAGGGGTGCTCAACGAAACAGAATAAAAACTGCCTATTGGAAGACTGAAATCTCAGTTGGCAGCAAGATCATCTCTTGAAGCTGTGATGATGTGCATTAGCTTTTTTATCTGTTAAATGTAACATTCTGAACTGTTGGGACCAGTAGATGCCTCATCAGCTTTGTGTAGTTCAGTGCAATCAAAAGATGCTGTATTGATAATACATTCTTCTCCTTGCTCTTGCTCATTCAGCCAATGATGGAACATGTGCGAATTCATCCAGAATTAGTGACTGGATCTAAGGACCATGAACTGGACCCACGAAGGTATATACATTCACTCTGCTATTAGGAAGGTCTATAAATAAGCAGCTCTTAGAGGGGTTATTTCACAAGGCCTACAGCAAAACCTTTTCTGTCAGCAACAGCGTGTACCAGTGGTGTTTTGTCACCCATATTCATAGGTACACCAGGTAAACATTTAGACTATCTTCATCCAAGCCTGGAGTTGGATGAATAAGAAAAGACTGTTGTAAAAGGCCATTAAGAACACTGGGGTTCTAAAATTAATCTTGTGTCAGGAGTAGAATCTCTCTTCTGTTTAACAGTTGACTTTGCCTTAATTTTATAACTTAAAAATTAAACGTTCTCATCAAGTTCCAGAAGAGTTTGCTTATACTGAATAAACTACCACTTCATTGATTTATGGTTTGGGTCTTATTTTTTTGATTTGTTGAAGTACTTGGTAGGATTTAAGTGTTTAAAATGGCTTCAGTGTGTCTTGTTTTGGTACCTAGATATTGGTTCAGTTAACAGATCAATTCTTTTAACAGGTATGTCTTAACGTTATCAGCTGTATTAGTTTTCTTTAGAAATAGGCTCATTTGCCTGCAGCAGCACCACTTGCTGCTTTTCTCTTGTCTCCACAGGCCCAGCCACTGAAGAGGAGAAATTGACTCTTGTTGCTGCACTGTAGTGCTCTTGCCCTGCTTTTCAGAGCCACTAGGAAAACACTACTAAATGGGAACCTATTGACTATCACAAGGCTCAATTTTGCAGGCTTCTGCCAGACAGGGGGGAGGGTGGCACCACTAAGGAGTACAGTTGGCACAAAGCTACCAGTTGAAGCCTTCTCATTTGGTATCTTGCACAGAATATCTTACATTCTAAAGCAACTCAGCCATTAGTAAACAGCCTTCAGCCAGACAGCTTTCTTTACAGTGAATTTCCATCCCCTGAAATAGCAGGTGATCTAATCTGGCTGCTTGATTCAGTGACAAAAAGTTTTCAGAATGAAGGAAATAGTAATAATAAAAAACAACCACATTCTAGAACATTGGAGATAAAACACAGACCTGAAACTTGGCATTGCAGATGGTGTTTGCTTAAATAATCTAGGATTTCCTCATTGCTGGCATGTCTAAATTTTGACTGCCAACATCTGAGTCTAGTTGAGCTGATTTCTACAGCTGCTGAAGCTCAGGATCAACCAAGTCTTCGTATGCTGTTCTTCATTTCCAGAGTGCTCCATGGCAGACCTTTATGGATCTCTGTGTCAAAGCTGTTTGTCTCCTATTTGAGACCCCCTCTTACAAGTCTCCTTTGCAATTTCTGTCCGGTGCCTTGTTCCAGTTTTGGGTGGGAGCATGCAAAGCTGTCTGGAACAAACGAGCCATCCTACAAGCCAATTCCTCATATCTCCAGGAACTCTTGTTTGTAACAATAATTGACTAACTTACTCTTTTGGATCCAAAAACTGTCTGCAGGTGGAAAAGACTAGAAACTCATGATGTTGTGATAGAATGTGCCAAAATCTCCCTGGACCCTGCAGAAGCCTCATATGAAGATGGCTATTACTCTGTGTCTCGGAAGCTCTGCACAAGTTTAAAACATCATCAAACTGACCCCAGTGCCAGCTATTATATTGACACACAGAGCAGCTATGGTAAGACCTACCTGACAGCTAATGAATGCCCAACTTCTGGAGGAAAACTAACCCTATAGCAAAAAGACATCTTAATAGTTTATCCCACTTAAAGTCCAATTCTTAGGCACCAGAAAATAAACCATAATTTAAAAAAATAAATACAACAGATACATGTTCTGGTCACGCAGACATACAGCATGTTCACAAAGTTGCCTTCCCACCACCCCAAAACAACCAACAGCAACTAAAAAAGCTGTAATTTGTGGGATATATTCAGTAGGTGTTTTCTTAGCCTGGAAGAAAAGTCTCCTGTTTGCTAGCCTCAAATGTGTATGTTGAATGGATTTGAAATGCTTTGGTTAAAAGCCTTTAAATACAAGCCATAAAAATCATTGGCTTGTATTTGATGTGTTGGATACTTTTAATTTTTCTATTTTTTTTTAACTTTCAGGGACTTCTACCCCATATTCTACTCCTCGGCTAACACTATCACAAATGCCAGGGCAGCTACCTCAGATCCTGAGCTCTCAGTCAATACGGCTGTCAACTGAGCCACAGCAGGTAAAGCAGAAGACAAAGCACAGCACACTTTTAATGCTGTGTGCTGCTTTCATAGCTTCTCCTGACAGTCTTAAAAATTTATGTTTCTGAGATGTACTGTGAGTTCTTCAGAACTTAGTGTACATTTTGTATTTAATTCCTGTGTCAGAACCTGGATGCAGATGCTGCATGTATTCCTTTTCTGAGCTTTCCTGATCTGTGTTTGTTGTGTATTGCTTTTCCGTAGGTTACCATCTGGAGTCCTTCTGCAGTTTGTGGTATGACCACTCCACCAACTTCCCCTGGAGTTGTCCCATCAGACTCATCCCAGTCTGTATCACAACCTTACAGCAAAGCATTTGGCACACCTGGTACGTGCTGAATTTTGGAATTAGGCCTTCCAAGTTTGTTAAAATAGAAATTCTGGCTATGAATTTTGCTGTCAGCTTCTTAAATGAGAATACCACACCATGCTATTGGATAGGCTTATGTCATTACTTCTGTTAAGTGAGTACCTGGTCATATGGAGCAGTGCTATTGCAAACACTGAGATAGGAAATAACTTACAGTGAGTTAAGTGCCAAAGTCTGAAGCAGGTCTTTTGGAAACTGTGCACTTTTATGTTGGTAAATAGTTGAAAGACATTTAAGAAGTAAATGCTTGAGATAGTGTTTAAACGGACAATTCTTCACATACAATATTCAGCTGAAGGGAGGCAGTGGGAGCCTGCTGAGAAAACGTTTGCTCCTCCTTTTCAGCAGGGGGGAAAGGAACACCTTTGGGAACGCCAGCCACATCTCCTCCTCCACCCTGCACTTCAGATGACTTTGTGCATGTTTCACTCCCTTCAGCTGCTGCCACGCCTCCTAAAAAGGTATAACAAAATTCTTCTGCCAAACAAATCTGATATTTTTTCATTGACTTGCCATACATGCAGTGACCATAACTGAGAAGGAAAACACTACCAAAATCAAAGTAACTGATCTACAAAAAGTGTTGCATTTCATTGCAAAAGTTCATTTTCTTATAAGTTAAGACAACTATTGCCACTTCCAGTTGCACAGTTTTAAGACTGCTTGTATTGGTTTGCTGTTTAAGCCATCTGTTTGCTGGAATTTCCTTTCTATGATACTGTCAAGAGGTTTGTTTCCAAGAGATGTCTGATGCAAAGAACCTATTTTGGGTTTTGTTTTGTTGTGTTTTTTTCAGGAGGACAAACCAGATTCTGGGAGGCCTTTACTGTACCGACAGCAAAATGTCATAAACAGCGAGAAATCACTGGGTAAAACTGTTTTCCTCTCCCCATTTCAGTAACCTATTGTAAACAAGTCCTGTTTGTATTGACACACATTCCAATTGCCAAACACTTTTCCACAGGTTTTTCTTTTTCCCTTTTTTCCACCCCCGAGTTGTTCGTAGTTCCAGGAGCCTTCCTTAACCTATGAGTCAACTTAAAACCTTCTTGTGATGCTTTTGATTTAGTTTTCACTATTCACCTTCAGAAATAGCTTACAGGTTATTTTTTTTTAACTGGCCCTCATGCATTCTCATGCATGTTTAAATGCCCAGATCTACACTGAAGGTGGAAAATTACATACTTTTTTAAAGAAAGCTGATTCTTTGAGGGTCATTCTTTTTACTATTATGAAAAGCAGCAAGTTGTATATGAAGTCTTACTTCCACGTTTTGTGTCACATGTTTGGATCAAACTGTAAGGCTGCATATAAGGATCGATACGAGGCTCCCTTTGAAAGGCTTTTGGGAAAAATTGTTTTCTATCTACAATTGCATTGCTGTACTTGACACTTTTTTAAAGTCCTCTGGATTACTGAAGTCAACAGTGGATGGTTGAGGAGCTCAGCTTCTAATAGGTATATCATAGATTCCATTTTCCCTTCTCTGTCATCTACAGCTGTAGAAAAGGATTTTGGCACTGTATTTGAGCCTTCTGTACTGTGAATCTTTACAATCCTCAAAGTGGAGATGATAATGAAATTTATAGCTGTTTTTCCTTGGTGAAGTCATACACCAACACTGGAACCTGAACTTCCTCAACTACATGTTAGGAACAGGCAAGGCTTTTCAGTGGGCTCCTAATCTGTGACTGAGCTGTGAGCAAGAGGTTTCTATCCTGCATGCTTCAGTGTCTCAGAGTTTTGATCAGTAGCCACGTATTGTCAAGTCTGTATTACATCTGTTTGCTAAACTTCCTTTTTTCCACAAGTATTGTGTCCTTGTGTAGCCAGATCAGAAGCTGAAAGGGAGTCTAATGCTAGCGTGGAAGTATAGTGGTCACACTACACTTAAGCCATTTTATTTAATGGGTTAACTTACAAACACCACATCCTTATTCATAGAGGTGATTGACTACGCTTGTTGTGCAGTAGCAAATACTAAGTTTACAAAATACATTTTGGGATCAGGACTGATCAGTGACCGATTTCTGAACTAGTTCCTACACGGAATGGACCTCCTCCTTTGAGGAAGCATCTGAAGGAGCAACAAGTTTATTCTAAGGACCTTACAGCAGTAAAGGACTTCTGTTTTGTGCTGTGCTAAGGCTGAAGAAAACAGCATCTGTAAAACTAACTTTTCTTTTTTCTTTCTTTTTTTCCAGACACATCTGGTAGTAAAAGTTCAGTAACCTTAAGTGATCTTGCAGAGTTTTTAGGTGGTTTGTCTTTTGAAGATAGTGCTGAAAAGGATAGAGAGGAAGGTAATTACTCATCATCCTTACATTCATCTTAGCTAAGGAAATGTTTGTAATGTCAAAATACAAGATATGTAATTGTGCTTCCCCCTCCCATCCTTCTCAGATGCAATATCTAAAGAGATCTCCGAGATCACAACTGACGCTGAGCACATGGTGCCTAGAGGAGGATTTGACTCTCCGTTTTACCGCACAAATGAAAGTCTGTCAGGCTCTCAGAAGAAGACCCATTCAGTAGTCTCTAGTGTTCAGGGAAACAGTCAGACCTCTGAGCCTTTAACATCTTCTCTGGACAAGTCTGGGCCTGAGAGTGCACGGGAAACACCCAAACAAACATTTACTCCCATAGACAAGCCCTGTGGAGGCTCTGATGAAAGCCCTGCTGGTAACAGGGAAGGAACCTCTGGGGAGACCAGTATCCTCACTCCCAGCCCTTACAAAGTACCAGCACAAAGAAGAGCGGTGTTTCGGAGTGGGCAGCCTCCCCTGTATGAGCACCTTTTTGAGGTTGCATTACCAAAGACTGCCTACCTCTTTGTTGGCAAGAAGACTGAGGAGCTGCTAAAGAAAGCCAAGGGAACCCAGGATGATGACTGTATGTCCTCTACTTCTCCTGTGGAAGTTCTGGACAGACTGATACAGCAAGGAGCAGATGCACACACTAAGGAGCTGAACAAGTAGGTGACTGAAAATCTTTGCAGACTTTCTTGTTACTCCTATTTGTGCTGGCTTTGTTTTAATAGCTGTGACTAGAAAGCAGCCATGTCTGGAAATCTACAGTGAAACTCTTTTGGTTTCTGAGGTGGAGGATTTCTGTATTTGCAGTGGTAACATGTTTGCTTTGATACAAAGGGACCGTGACTGCTGTGCTGTTACTGTACTAACAGAGTTTGGGGTGGCGAAGCAGGTTTTGGTACTGCTGTTTGTGAGATTTGTTAATCAGGTGTAAGTCATGCAGTAGGTACTTAAAAGCAAATGTTGAGGCTTATACCCTCCATGCTCTGCAACCTGCTGCTTGTGCAGTTCCTCCTTATTCTTTTCCTATTGACTGACTGTAATTGAACTTTTATTAAGCTGTACTTTTATTAAGCTCTTTTGAGGTGGGCTTTCTACTTTCAGGTGAATTCCAGAGTGTTTCTATGTTTAAACTTACTGGCTTATGCTGCATTTTCATTTTTCAGACTGTCTCTGCCAAGCAAATCTGCTGACTGGACTCACTTTGGAGGTGAGGAGGTTTCTCAACGTGTTTTGGCAATCTGTTCCTCTATTATTAGACTGGCTTAAAAAATGACCTGCAACCTATTTTTATTTCATTTTTTTAACTAATGTTGCAGAAAGATGGTGCCCTCCATTAAGTCCTGGTTTATGTGCTCAGCAGATACACTTCTGTGCACCAGTGAGATGAGCTACTTTTTTTCATCTTTGAAAAGTGAAAACTGCTTTCCCCACAATTCTAGACATTTCTACTTTTGACCATTGAAGATCTGCTAACCTCCAGTGATGCTGAGCATTTAATGGATCCTTTCACCTTTCCAATACTATTTGAGTTAAAAACTCAAGTGATGATTGTTTTTCTTGCTGCTTCACATGTGTCTCATAGTTTTGTGCTCTTAGGTGTCTGTGGTAATGATGAGCTTGCCTTTTTTCCCTAAACAGAAGGATCAGTCTGTTGGAAGCATATACATGTTACTCTGGGAAAATACTTCAAAACTTTAACTGTTTAAAACTTTAAGTTCATGTTGGAGACAAAGGGAGCAGACAGAATTTTCTAAGTTTTAATTTCGAACAAATCTAATTTGCTTATTTTAGAAGATATTTCCTGTAGATGGAACAGGGACAGTTTAGTACTACCTTCTGTCTTTTAACTCCACCTCCAGGTTCTCCCCCTTCGGATGAGATTCACACGCTGCGTAACCAATTGCTTCTGCTGCACAACCAGTTACTGTATGAACGCTTCAAAAGACAGCAACATGCCCTTCGGAACCGTCGGCTCCTGCGAAAAGTGATTAAAGCAACAGCTCTGGAGGAACGCAATGCTGCCATGGTGAGCAGACAGCTCTAGCAGGGATTTAAACACGCTGCTGTTAGAACACGTGTTAATTGGTGTGGCCAGTATATTTCAGTACCACTCAATTAAAAAAGAAGCCTCATTTCTCCCCTTATTAAAGTCAGTGTTTGTGGAATAACTTGTGGATGAATTGTGTGCACTGTGATTGTTAAAGCCAGGAGTTTCTGTTTGACCATAGGCAACTGAATCAGAGGATGCCTGCGTGTGTGATCCCTGCCAGCACTTACCTTTGGATAATAGGCTTCACACTTAGTGGAATAGTTACTTAATGCCTAGCTAGACACCTTATTATTGTATTATTTCACTCTTCAACTGAGGAGTAATAGCAAAAACTTTAGAAACTCAGATGTTCTTTTCCAGAGGTATTTACCATTTGAAGTTATAAGTGCATTGAAGGATGTCTTATTACAGATTTAGCCATGTGTTATTTTGTATCTCCATATTATAGCTAGTTTCATCAACAGTTTCACCTTTTGATAAGTCAGTGGAGGAGCCAAAAATAGACTTCCAAATAGGTTGTGAAAGATCAATTGTTGCTTCTGCTGTGAAGCCCAAGTCCCTGTTCAAAGTATGAGATGCAGTGGAAGAATCTGCTGTTGCTTACTGTGCCTTTGGATGTGACTTGGAGTTTTCAGTCTGTCTGCTTTATCACTGTTTGATCTATTCTTCAGCCAAAAACCAAACCAGACCCCCAAAACTTTAAGAACATGTTCCTTATAGAATATTGTATCTATGGAAAGGTGTTATGCCTGCATGCTATTGATAGCTTTACTTAGGTAGTGACGTAAGATAGATGTTCCAACTCAAAGCAGGTGTCCTGTCTGATGCTTTGTGTGGGGCTTTTAACAGAAGGATCAGCTGAAACTACAGGAGAAAGAAATCCAGGCCTTGAAACTCAGTCTGCAGAAGGAACAGGCAAGGTACCACCAGTTTCAGGAGGAACATGAAAATATAGTGTCTCAGCTTCACAGCCAGATCAGACAGCTGCAACATGACCGGGAGGAATTCTACAACCAGAGCCAGGAATTGCAGGTATGAAGCCTGACACTGAACAAAATTGTGTTATCTACTTACTGGTTTTAAAAATAACCTTCCTAATAATATGGCATGGAATACCTGAAAGTTACATATCTCTGTTAGATAAATTGTCCTAATTCAGTATATGACAATGCATAATTGGAAATGCCTTATATCAGCATCTTTTTATAGTTCTGTCTTGTTCTCAGTTTGGAAAAGGAAAGTACAGTTTCATAGCTGGATTTGGGGCTTTCAAAAGTGCTCAGCCTATCTTAATTTATAGTGCCTGGGGTTACAGCCCTCCAGCTGTCTGCTGTTGGTAGTCCTTATTAAAGCTTCAGAACTCTGAGTGAGTTGGTTTCTTCGTTTGAACAGACCAAGCTGGAAGACTGCCGAAATATGATTGCGGATCTGAGGTTAGAACTAAAGAAGGCTAACAACAAGGTGTGTCACACTGAACTGCTGCTTAGCCAAGTTTCTCAAAAGGTAAGAAAAGTCACTCTTCCTAGTGTCCCGTTTTGTCTTTATGTTTGTTTGCTTGATTGTTTTTTCTGATAGCTTTTATCAGATGCTTTTTCTTTCTTGTTCTGAAAGAAGCCTGTGCTTAGTTCTATAGAATCTAATATTAATTGCATAAAACCAACACAGAGACATGTATTTTGGGGGAAAAACTTTAAATTCAGTTCAGAGGCTTCTGAAACTGCTTGTTTTAGCTGCTTTTTCCACAGTAGGAGTTTGCAGATTGAGCAATATGAACTGGTAATAAAGCTCTGCTAAATCTTGAAACTTTAGAGATCTTATTCCTATCAGAAGTGGCATTCTTGTGTAAGTGAAAACATGGTTATCTTAAGGGGAGTGATGCCTGTTTGGTGAAATTCTGTATGAACTGTCACTAGCTTTATCAAAACTGATTTATTTAACACTTATTACCTATGATGCATTGGATTCTTGTCTTTGTCTCCCTCCTTTATAAAATGCCCTGTGAGCACAATGCCTGTCAGATGTGACTCTCCCACTGAACTGTTCAATTTTTTCCCTTTAAAGCTTTCCAACAGTGAATCAGTGCAACAGCAGATGGAGTTCTTGAACAGGCAACTTCTGGTTCTTGGAGAGGTCAATGAGTTGTACCTGGAGCAGCTGCAGCACAAGCACACAGACACTACAAAGGTATGGTTGCAGAGGAAGCCTTTTGAGGAATACTTCACTTGAGGTCATCATCAAGCTGTTCTCAGCCTTCTGTTGGGAATGGAGAAAAAGCCTCTTAATTTAACAGATACTTTGCAGTCGATTTTTCAGGGATTGGATTTCATATTTGATCTTCTGTTCAGATATTTTTTGCTGCAAGTTTATGGAATATCTTCACTGCCCTGTGTCTGAAAGCTAAGAAGGAGGTGTTAGGGTACACCTGAAGTCAGTTTTGGCCACTTGATGTAAGCTATTAGTAATTTTTTTCTTGCTAAAGGCCAAGACTCTTAATGTTCTCTTAATATAATTGGCAGGAGACTTGCTGGTAAAGTAACATTGGCTGTTATGTTTGTGAAAGTGTATAATGCAGGGTAGTAGTACTGGAATATGTAGAAAGATCTTAAACAGGATTTTGTGTTTTAGTAAGGTGCTGTTTTAAAACAAGTAGTCTTATTCTCACTCAGTCCTTTTCCTGTTAAGAGTTAGTATTAACTTTACTAGAACTTCTGTGGTTCATATGGTTTTACTTCCTGACTTCAAAGGAACCTTTTTTTAATTAGAAGCAAGTAAATTACACAACAGTGTAACTGCTCCTGCGTGAGAGCAAGTAATTAAAGGAGGTGATTAATAAGCCAAACAGAAAAAAAGTATTTTAGTGGTATTTAATGAAAGTCATATTGCAAAATGGTTTTAAAATGGAGTTTGTCTGTTCTAAGCCAGTGCAGAACTGACAAGTTTAGTTTGCTGAAAAGAGTTTCTCATAAGGAACATTAATGTGTTAATAAATTCCAGTGATGTATAGTTACAGTAACTTGATGGTGCACATCCTCAGAGCATCTCATTTTCTGTATCCGTTTCTAGAAATACTTCTTTTATTCCATCTTGCTTTAAAATGTACCTATTTATAGCATCTGAGACATGTCTAAATACTAATAAAAATAACACATGATCAAATTATACTTTAACATTGTGTTCTTTCCTTTGAGGAGGTTGAAATGCTGCATGCTGCTTTTCGGAAAGAACTGGAGAAAGCAAAATTGTGTGTTCAACAGCAAAGCCAAAGGCTTGATGCTTCCCAGAAACGGATAGCTGAACTGGAATCTCAGCTTGCTAAAAAGGACCACCTCTTCCTGGAGCAAAAGAAATACCTGGAAGATGTTAAAATTCAAGCAAGGTAGGGGTGTAAAATTTGAGCTGTGCATTGACAGATGTGCTATCATAGTTGAGGCAGAATCTAGAGACACTGGACCTGATGGATTTTGATGTCTTTTTCTGTTCAGAGGTCAGCTGCAAGCAGTAGAAAGTAGGTACAAGGCCCAAAAAAGAATCACTCAGGCATTTGAGCTGGAGATTTTGGATCTGTTTGGCCGTCTGGAGAAGAGCAGCCTCCTGAAAAAACTTGAAGATGATAAAACAGAAGCAGCTGAAGCAGCAGAAGAAAGGTAAGGGTGATGATGTAAAATATGCTTGGCTCATAACCAGCTCATTGGAAGTTGATATATCCTTGTGGAATTCCTAGTATTTGGGTGCATCATCTCAAAATATTTGTTACTCCCCTTTTTGCAGACTGAATCTATTTTGGGACTTTGCTCAGAGTCATTGACAAAACTGGAAGTGCTCATGAAGTAGTTCTCAGATAGCTGAACTGTTACTCAAAGCTTGAGAGAAAGCTCTGGTTTGTGTCAAAGCCCAGTCCTTTTAATCTACAAATTGTTACACTTTTTAAGTAGTTGTTTTACATGTGTCTACCTAAAGCATCAAGGCGGTGCTGTACTTTCCCTCTGGTCATACTTAGCGTTTTATATATCAAATTCTGCTGCAGCATCAGGATAATTTCTTGCACTGCCAGCAGATTTGTGGTGATCCCTGTGCTGGGGTTAGTTAAAAGATCTACAATCCAAGAATGGTCTCCTCCTTTACCTGAACAGATCAGGAGCTAGTTCAATTCCATTCTGCTTTGGGATTATTGTCAGTTTTGGATTTAAATACTGTATGTTGCAAAGCTGAGTGTGTGTGACACTTTTCTGGTTACCCTCTGTCCCTTCTACTTTGCTACAAAACTGTGAAGGGGAAACTCCTGAAGTACATCTACAGTAGCAGAAACAGAAAGTGATCAAAGTAACCTGCCTTCCTCAGTGTTTCCCTGTTCACTGTAAACAGTTGCTATCATTTCCTTGTCACTGTATCCTCTTTCTTTTTTTCAAACCAGGCTGGATTGTGGTAATGAAGATACCGTGGCAGGATACAGTGAAGAAATGATTGGTAGAAATGGAGAGACCAAACCTCCCAGCACTCGAGGTAGTAGTAGCAGTAAGGGTGGCAGTAGTGGTGAGCTCTCCACCCCAGAAAAACCCCAGAACCAGAGATTCAGCAATCGCTGGGAGACATCCATGTTGCTGGAGCCCTCATCTACTGTCCCACTGACTGTAGGTTCACTCCCCAGCTCCAAGAGCTTCCTTGGAATGAAGGCACGAGAATTATTTCGCAACAAGAGTGAGAGCCAGTGTGATGAGGAGGGTGTAACCATCAACAGGCTTTCTGATGCGCTAAAGACTGAACTATGTAAAGATCCAAGTATGGAGACAAAGGCCCCTCCAAGCCCTGACAACCTTAGCCTCTCGCCTAAGATCCAGGAAAGCAGTGTTGGACAGCTTCATATCATGGACTACAATGAAACTCATCATGACCACAGTTAAAAAGGAAGATAGTCAATCAGTGTTATTTTCATATTCTTGGCATAGAACAGGAGGCGTGAATGCAAGTTTAACTAAAAGCTTTTATGTTTCTTTGGTCTGAGCAGCTAGCTCATGCAGCGGAATAGGATTGATGTCCAGAAACAGAAGAAGGCTGCTGAATGAATGCAAAGTGGATTTTTGGGTCTGGAATTGAATCGCCCAGCCTAACTCCTGCTTCTTTCTCAAATTCAGTCCTTAGCAGTGTGTACTAATTTGAAGGGACAACTGTTAGCAATTGCAAGTATTTTTTCCCTTTTTCCCTGTCCCCAGTTGAGTGGCTGCGTTTATGAACTCGAGTGCAATATGAGGCCAAATTAACATTTGTGAGTCTACTATGAATGCTTTGTATTTCCTTGCAAGCTTCCAATTTAGAGCAGTTAATTGTGCTGGCTGTCCAGGTGACTCCAGTTGCTTTCATCCTGGAAAGAAGCAGCACTAGAATTTCTAGTGCATTCATCTAAAGGTCTCTATTTTGCCTGTCACTGTCCCATGTCCCTCAGAGCCCAGACTTCATTAAGTTGGACTCTGGTTGAATATCTAAATGTTTAAAGAACAGTGTACCTCTGCAAAATGATTCATTCACCCTAATTCATGATCATTGTTTATATTGTCCTTAACATTTCCTGGAAAGTTACATTTGAACAGACACTTAATGAGGAACTGGAGCTTGTAATGCAGAAGAGACCACATGCTGGATACTTGGTAAAACACTAGCTTCTGATCTTCTTGGTATTTTAAGTGTTTGCCTGACATAGTGGTACTGACCTCAGACTGGTTCATATGGGAGAGTGGCTGGGGTGGGAGAAGAGGGAAGATGAAGCTTCACTAGAGTAGGGAGAGCATGCAGAACAGATACGTAGGATTGCAAACTTATGAAGATTTGCAGAGGAGCATTTGTTTCTCTAATTGGGGGAATGCTTGTGCTGCCTGACTCTCCTTTGTAATTCTGTTCTTTGTTCCTGGTCTGAGCCAGGCCACTGTATTTTGAGTCCAAGAAATTGGCTTCGTTCTTCCTGGGAATATGTTTTCAGACTTGACTTGGAGAATATGGTTTCCTTTGAGTGCTGTTGTGTTCAGACTGCAGCACATTGTTCAGCTCAGCAGTGTCAGTTTGGGTCTAGGTATCTCCCCTTTGCCCTCATCCTGTTTCCTTAGAGGACAAGGCCGAGGAGGAAGCCTGCTCATACTGTGGATCAGAATTCTGTGTGAAGCCTTCCTGCGCTAATCATATTTTTTAAGTCAGTGATGAGCCTTCTGTGAAGGAGGATTGTGGGATCAGGGCTTGTCAGTGGTCAGACTCAATCTCCTTCGTGGCAGAGCAGAGCCTGCTGTTAGGAAGGCAGTGTGCTTGTTTTAAATGTTAGATATGTCTGGGTCCAGGCGTACTTAGACATATCAGGCTTCACAGTTACCCTGCATCACACATGGCCTCTTTTCTTAAATGTTCTGTGGGTGGCAGCTGCTGTTTGAAAACTGTCTCACATATAAATCAAGTCCAAGTACACTTGCACTTGTAGTTCAAATCCCTTCTTAACCTGAATAGGAACAAGACTTCAAGAGCAGCTGGCAATATGCTAACTTGTTCCTGACAGTACTTCTCCTCACCTTTCTGCTTCTTCCATAACACCTAGGGTCTAAATACATTTCTGCCTGTCTAAATTATTCTCAGTGTCCTTTCGGTTGGTCAGTCCTAACTCTGAAAGTAAAGGTGAACTTCGGTGGTTTTGTCCAAGCTTGAATCTGCATGGAATAGAAAATAGAGAGTTGGTTGTAAGTGACAGACTGGTTTTGTCGACATGTTTATAGGCTTTCTAAGACTTAGTGGTAGCAAACGTGGTAGCATATGTTTTGGTCAGATTTGAAGGTTTCTTGCCCCTTACCCCAGCGGGTGCCAGCCCCAGGAGTGAACGGTTTGCACACTGACCTTGAAGGGGGCTCGGGCACTGGATGCTGTTTTGTTGGAGGGGTTCATTGACCCATCCTTGTGTTTTGCTGAGCCCAGGAGAGTGTCTTGCAGGATGAGGTCACTTGCTGTGCAGAGAGGCGGTCTTTGTTGTCGGTTACAGAAGTGCCCTGGCGGTAATGCAAGCTCAGTGATAAGGTGACTTTTTTCTTCTTTTAAAAAGGATTTTAGCACCGGGATAGTAGTGGAAACCACTTTAGGTTTGTTTATGGACCACAAAGATTATGGAGGAACAAATTTTGCATTTACTTTTTTTTTTTCTAAGTCTAAAAATCATGGATCTGCTGTATGTAGTTAACTTGCAGTTTGTTTGAAGGGGTCCCATCAGTGAAGTGGAAACAGATTTTTTTAACTGACTGCTTTTAGTTAAATCTAAAATTGCTGTCTTTGTCAAGTTAATCTGTTCCCTGCCTCGCTCTTTGTAAGCATGTTAAACAATCCACATTAAATGCCATAAATATGAAATACGAGGAAATGGTACAATCGTAAGCTAAAGAGAACTTAAACCAAAAGGAGGTTTTGCTGTCCTTATTAGAATGTTCTAAAATGTCAAGGCAGTTGCTTGTGTTTAACTGTGAACAAATAAAATGTATTGTTTTGCACTACTCTGTGTTAAATTTCCTCCAAGCTGACCTCTTTGGGACCAAGCCATGCTGAGACAAAACATGCAGAAACAAGTTCAGTATTGAAACATCTTCCAGGAGCTGCATAGCACAGAGCAGGTAAGCGGTTCTGCCCCTTTTGAGTGGGGTTCCATGAATTCTGCAGCGTGGGGTAAGTGAAATGAATACAAAGCAGAAGGTGAATTTGACTTGCTTTTACCTTATTTTAAACCATTTGCATATTCCTTAGCAAGCTTAGCCTTGGAAAGCTGTACTTGCCAGTTTAAAAAAAAAAAAAATTAGATATATATTACCCACAGAAGTACATCCACTGGGGAGCAAAAAGAGAAACTAAAGTACCTTCATTCCTCACTAATGCTAAGTAGTGTGTTTGATGGTTTACAACAGAGGTAATAAACATGGAGTAGACATTAGGGAAAGAAAGAATTTGAAGATTCTTTGCTTGACTGATCTTGATTTATTGGAACTGCTTAGCTGCTGGTGCAGGGGTAGATTTTAAATGAGGTTACAAAAGAATTTAGAGAATCAGCAGGAGTTATTTCATACATTTGTACACACAGGAACTTCACAAAAAGAGCTTAGTTACTGTTCACCCAGGCTTTACTTTTCAGACAGAACTTTATTTTGGTGGGTGGCTGCACAGATCCTGTGTCCCTGAGCTCTACTTTGGCTAAGCCTGATTTTCTTGACATCCCTTTCAGTCCAAGCACACCCTTCCAGCTGCAGCCACTAGAGGCCCTGCCAAGCTTGCCACTTCCCAGTGCCTGCTCTGATACTGTTTTGGGGATGCTGAGTCCCCCCTCTCCTTCAAATCGCCCCTCTCGTGCCTTCAGGAGCCCACCCCAGTGCTTGGTCCTCACCTCATGGGGCCTGACCCCATACCCTCTGCTGGTGAGGTGCTGGGACTGGGTGTTTCACTTACAGGATGTTCTGACCCAATTACAGGTTGACAAAAGCCTCATTTGACCCTTGGCTGAATTGAGGGGAGCACAGAGGATATTTATAGTCTGCAGAGGCCAGGATTCAGTTGAGATCAACTGCTACCAGCCCGTACCTCTTACACAGTATTTGAAAGAAAAAGCAGCATTTATTTCCTGGACTAAGTGACACATCTCTGGGTAAGTCACTCTGGGGCCCTGCAGGGTTTCTCAGTATGTAAATTGCAATTTTATGCTCACAGAGGCTAAAGTTAAACTTTATTGCACTTCTGTGTTTGGCATTTACATCCTGTTTATGCAGATTCTTCAAACAGCTTGATTTGTAGTAGAGAAAAACAATTCTTGCTGTATCTTTTTGTCTTTTGAAGTGTCCATCCACCCTGGAAGAGGAGAACTTGTATGGAAATTAAGTAATTTGTCTAGATGTTTTTGTGAGCCTTAACTTTGCAGTCTTCCAGCAGATCCTGGTCATGTCATTACCAAGCCGCAGACTGCAGGTTTCATGCAGTCATTTTTCTGCTTGTGTCTTAAAATTTGGCTGCATAAGACTGAAAGGATAGGGCTAGGCTAGAAATTATTGGTAAGGTTTAGGGATTTGTTTAGGGATTTTCTTGCATGTATGGTGACCTTGGTCAAGCACAAATGGACAACTGCATTGGTATTGTGAACAGTGAGGCCAGAGTAGGGCTCCTCAGAGCCTGGCTGTTCAAATTTAAACTATGTGACAGGGTGAGGAAGGTTGGAAATAAGATCTGGAAGCAGCATCTCCTGTGTCCCCAGCACTTGTCTTCTTTTAGTCCATGTAGCGTGTGTTTGTACTGAAAAACTTTCCAAGACAGCAACTGTCATCGGACACTTGTCTTTGCCACGTGAAACACAATAGGGCAGCTGTGAGCAACACTGATTTTTCTGCCTGAAGCTGCCTTTGCAACAGGGATCTCAAGTAGAGGCTGAGAGGGTAACAGGCTCATCCTGCTGGCTGCATCCCCAGCAGTGCCTGGGAGCCTTGCTGGGACCCTGGCAAGCTTTATTACCCACTTGAGTTCACCAAGATTCAGTGCAGTTGGATCATGTTGTCTCCTAAAAATAGGCTTCTACTCAGTGTGGACAGATACATTGCTTTGCAGAATAAGTGGATAGGGGGGGAAAGTGCAAAAGAAGGTGGGGTTATGTGAGGAATCAAAATATTCCTGAAAATACTTGCCATTTCATCTGAGCTATCATTCCTTCCTACGCTCCCTCCTCTGCATTAATTCTTCTCCATTTTTTGGCTTCTGGTTGCCAAAATCTAGTCACGTTAAACTGAAAGTTTTTCACAACTTTTTAGCAAACTGAGCCAGGAATGCAAGGGGAAATGGTTTATTCAGGAGTGTCTTCTAGCAGGAAGCAAAGAACAGGAGCTAACTTCTCTGTGGGAGAGGAAAAGAGCAGTCACATACAGGGAAGGCACCATATTATTGAGATCTTAAGTCTGTAGTTAACTGTGCTTGAGTAAAAGCATCACCAGAAATGCGTATCAGCTCCAGAGAATGGGGGGAGCCATGGCTCTACTGACTGTCCCTGAGCAGGCTGGAATGAAAGTTGTTTCCAGCACTGGTATAAAGTCACTGTGCTGGAATTGTAGTGTTGGTATAAAAGCAGCATGAGACTATTGCAAATGCCTTGCAATTTTAATGAATTTTAAGCCTCACAACATCTTTGAAAGCTAGGCAAGCTGGATTCTCATCTCAAAAAAGAGAAAGCACAGACATTTTAACTTACAATTTGAAAAGGAACCATCTGAAAATGGCCACAGCTTTCTCAATCTCTCTGCTCCCACCAGATTCCCATGAATCACATTGGGAATGACTTTGTAGTTTTGCAGAGCTCTGGGGATGATATGGGTTAGAGTTTTATCCAAGCTTGGATATTGACAGTACACCAGACTAAGTGCAAATGATGTTTGTTCTCTTTTCCATCTCTATCTCTGACAGCAAGGAGGTAAAGAGGTGTAAGGGAAGATGTTTGGAGGGGTGTGTGCCGGCCATGGTGTGAGAACCTGCAGGAAGGATGCAGCAGAGCGCAGTCAGTGCAGCTAACACACATTGACCTTTTTGGTAGCCAGTGGCATGTAAGGGAAACATTGTTAGTGTCCTGTAAACATTGATTCTGTGCTCCAGATAACCAGACAATTTCAGTGGGGGTGAGGGAACTTCAGGAACACGCCTGAATCCCAGACCTGTGTCTGAATCCAGCTTTGCTGCTCTGCATCACGTTCTTCAGACATGCAGGTTCATCACACCTCTGTCTGGTGCCTGAGTGGGTGTTCCTCAGAAGCCTGAGAAAGTGTAAAATCCCATTTTCCAGAAACCTGCCCAAGATTTGTGGCTGAAAGATTAGAACCTGATTACTCCTGACTATTCCCTGCTCTCACAGCAGTGCTGGTCAAAGGCATAAGCTCTAATGCTACAACTACTGCTGGTAAGGATACAGCTGGAAATACCAGCAAGGGTGAGACTGTGTACCTACCTGCTCAAGGCCGGGTTAGAGGGCTAACTATTCAGAAAGTGGACTTGGATAGGCAGGATCTCTAGTAATCATTTCACTGTCTTCAACCACCTGATTAAAGGTGGTAAGTATCAGATGGGTGAACTTTGATCCTTTAAAAAGCATGTCTACCTGGAGGTTTCCAGGGACTTTTACATTTCCCACTGTGACTTTTTGTGTCATTGAGGTGCTTCTTCCAGACGTGCTTATTCCCCTGCACTTGTACATTATCTTTCTTATTAGCTGAGGTCTGAACTTCAAGGTGTGCAGAAGGTGCTGTTTCAGAAATGACTGCCTTGTCTGCTGCACCTTGGGGTGCTGACTTCTCAGAGATAGCATTTCCACCACTCACATTTTGCAGCACATCCCGTGACAGCTTCTCAGTGTGAGTTATCCACTCCTTTATGCAGTCTAGAACAATGGGGATGAGGCTCACCACCCCTCCAAAAAGATTCTTTGCTTCATGACAGCTCAGGTGATTCACAACATCGTGGGGGTATCTGTGGGACAGAAGGCAACAAGTGGCAGACTAGTCCCAGCAGTGTAACCCTGGTGAGCCCACAGTGCGTCCCTGAGACCCTCTGCGAAGAGCAGAAATGCAGCCATTCATCTCCCCAGAACAAAAAGGCACAGATAGGACTGCATCCTGAGAAATGAGTCCTGCCAAACACACCATCTCGGCTGTTGGACTGGAGCTGAAAGACTTGAAGAGTGTGTACAAACGCTTGCCCCATGGAAATCATTCCTGCAGAGCAGGAATAGGAGGAGGGAGGAGGTAAACTGCCTGAGTGCTGCATGGGACTTCAGGGTGCTAACCTGTCTTCCACGTACCAGTAAAAAGAATGAATAAAGAAACCAACTCCCTTTTTGTGATCAGAGGCTGGTTTTCCCACCAGCTGGAATGGTAAACTGGGTAGCATCTCATACCCTCACTAAAGCCAGAAGGGTGTTGTAGCAGAACTGATGGAAAAGTCAGGTGGGAATATGCATTCCTGTGACAGTTCCCCAGCACTGACAGTCACCTCAAAGAAACAAAGCTGGTGGAGACACTTACTTGGCTCGGATGCTGCTCAGGTCATTGCTGTGGCTGAGGAGCACCTTGCACCTCCCCAGAATGTCATGGGTTGTGCTGTTACGAGGCTGCACACTTTCCAGCTTCTGGCAGAGCTTGCTTAGGTCATTGCAGATGTTTAGGAATAAGTTGAGGATATGCCTGTCAGTGGAATTGTTACAGTGATTGTCCATGTAGGACTGTACCTGTATGTGGGGAAAGACAGAGTTCTGCATGTTAAATTACATGGGACTTATGCTGTAAAGGTGCTGAAGTTAGTGAGGAGAAGGTGCTTTATTTTGTGACTTCAGGCGTCAGCCACTAGGAAACCACAACACTGCGGCAGGCAGTAAGATTTCTAGAGCATGTCCAAGATGTTTGCTTGTCCTTCATCATGACTAAAGAACGTGGTAACAGATCTGCTCATTGGCACTCCAGTGAGCCTTCTTCCCTCTTTGAAGCAGTAT